CTGGATGGTTCTGTCAACTTTTTCAGAAACTGGGAGACATACAAGGTTAGTACAAGTGAGAAGTTTAATGTCTTCTGCCCTCTAAAAGTTACTGGTAAAGTAACTTAAAAGATGGGTTTAGTCTGACCTACAGCTTACTTAAAAAGGAGCTTGTCATCTACATAAGAATACATTCAGATTTACCAATAAAGTAGACAGTACTAACATGCTTCTCTTGCTTCCCTTGTAGCAAGGATTTGGTAATATAGATGGAGAATATTGGCTCGGCCTAGAAAATATTTATTGGTTAACAAATCAAGGCAACTACAAACTGCTCATAACAATGGAAGACTGGTCAGGTCGAAAAGTATTCGCTGAGTATGCTAGCTTCAGACTAGAGCCAGAAAGTGAGTATTACAAGCTGAGATTGGGACGTTACAATGGCAATGCAGGAGACTCTTTCACTTGGCACAACGGTAAACAGTTCACCACGTTGGACCGGGACCACGATGTATACACAGGTAAACAAGGTCTCTTTTGGTCTCTTGCATAATAGTTTGTGGCTGTACACAAAACATAAAACTTAACAGCTGACAATTCTTAAAATGAGAATTTAACTTATGAAGCAGAAACTACAAACTGATTTGTCAACCAACTCTTATACATACTGACTGAATTAAAAATTCTCACAGAAACATTATTGTATATGTATTAAATTACATTAAACAAGGGTCTGTAAAACATATTATGAGGGTTGAGACAATAATGCAACAGATATTCCAGCAAGGGAGAGCAACACTAGTGAGTCTGTCTGCAGAACATGGTTCTCGATGAAGGCTCAGTTCACCTTGCATACACTGCACAGTTTGCACATTAATAATAAGTACATGGTTTAAAAAAAAAGCGCGTTCTGTTGAGCTTTTTTGCTTGCTATACAATTTTTGTTTCTGAGACTGAAATTGAGCTCTCTTTTACAGGTAACTGTGCTCATTACCAAAAGGGAGGATGGTGGTACAATGCATGTGCTCATTCAAATCTCAATGGAGTTTGGTATCGTGGTGGACACTACCGCAGTCGTTATCAGGATGGCGTTTACTGGGCTGAATTCCGGGGTGGATCATATTCACTAAAGAAAGTTGTTATGATGATAAGGCCTAACCCCAACACATTCCACTGAAATAATTTTTCTCTTGGCTAGCTTTCTTGTTCTGTTTTAAAAAACATGTAAATCTATACTTTTATTACCTGGAATTGTCTTTTCAGAAATAAGGAATGTAAGATATTGTACATTTATTGCTAAGATGTGAGGGCTTGTATATTGTGTTTCCAAGAATCATTCCAGGAAAATAAAAGCTGAAGAAAAAAGAAAGTGACAAAATCCAGAACCCTTCTTTATACTAAAAGCTGTTATATTATGCCTTTTAGAACTGACATGTGAGATAGCCTGTAGATAGATTTTCTGTTTTTTTGTTCCCTGTAAATTAAATTTGGATGCTAAAAATACTGCCACAACTTTTGAATATTTTTGAATGTTATATTATGTATAAATATTCTCAATTTACAAACTGTACAGCAAGAGTTTTATTATTATTATTATTATGAGCAATTACTTGACACAGGAAATTATCCTTTGAACTAGGTAGCTGGTATATGTACAGTAGTGTGATTATTCTAATTTAATCTTTGTTAATTTACATTAATAAAATTAGTACTGTATAACTTGAATTTACTGTTGTGATAAATCCAGTCTTTCCCCTTCACTGTGAGCATTTTAACAATCTGTTCCTATAAATCAGAATTCATATCTGATTCAAGTATTTTAGATGGTTTTTGTTGTTTATTTTTTTATTTTTTAAACAAAATGAAGTAGCTGCACAAGTAAACTAATCCAGATTTACTGTGGATATAACGTGCTGTATAGCCAATGTGTTATACTACTCTACACAACAGCGACAATATTTTGCACCAGACTTCAGTCATTACCTGCTGTATAGGCTCTGTGTTCAGAAACAGCTGGATATAAATCCAACTCTGCAGGCAAATGAGGGATACAAATATATAAGCTATTCAGTGTTTTTAACCAGTAGATAAAAGTTATATAAAGAAGTTATCTGTAGCCATGAACAGTTATTTGCCATATTTCACGATAATATTGATGCCAAATCATCTACAGATTTATTCATCTATATTTGGAGTTTAGTCACAAGTATGATACATGGACTGGTATAAATCTAATATTCTTCTGTGATAAGTTTCTAAAAGATTGTTACAACACCCCCTTCAAAACAGACACTACCATGAAAAATGTAGGCTAAGGAATGCATGTACAAAGGAAAGCAAAAACTCCTGAAAATTCTGTACATCTTTTAGTAAGCCTGCAAGACACTAGGTGTTTTTGTTTGCACATCTTTTCCCTCTTTATCTCGTCAGTTCTTTAGAAAGTTATAATATGCATTAAACTGATGCATGAAGTAGCATATGCTGTAGATAACTGAAAGCACGGTTTTTAATAAATAAGATTACCCCTGTAATATTGTAATCCTTTAATAAAGCAAAAAATGCTATTTTGACATGCTCAGATTTCATCTTGTTTTAGTTCAGGTTACTCACAGAAAAGACAAATTATTTAATTTCACACAATTCTGCCTCATGATTCACATACATTCTGCTATGCAGCTATTCATGCATGAAATGCCTAAATATGGCAAAAAATAAAGTGACTTCTAGCTGAGAAAAAAATGCTGAATTTCCATACATCCCAGAGAATAGAAGCTTTTGGTAGGCCACAAATTACAAGCTTTAAATACCATTCAAGCTTTATCTTTCACCGGTTAATCTATTAGACTCTGGAAAACAATTAACCTTCTGAAAAGAAACACTACACATACATCTACGAGCTCTACAGCTTGACCACAGTGCTTCAACAATTCGGATTAGAACATCAAAATATTGAAATTTCTATTGACATCTGTACTAACCAGTATTTTTGTCAGAACAAATGCGTGAAATAGATTGACAGCAACCTTAGAAGAGCCACTTCAAACTTCTTTAATACACATGGTTTGTATGTATATTCAATTCCTCATATGTCTATAAATAAACAATCAGGTTCCTGAAAATATTTTAGCTTTGCAATATCCTTACATCACATTCACACTCCATGCTGCTCTTGTCCTCCTTTGGTAACGCGTACAGTAGGAGCACAACACACCTTTACATACAATGGGTACATTAGCCATGTATCTGTTAGTCTGGAAAAACTACTACTTGCTGCTAAACGACTACTCTACAGTGCTTGTCAACTTTTAAAACATGAGTTTACTATTACAGGTGCTTTTCTGCATAAGTAAATACTGCTACAGATTAATCTCCATAGTATACACTCAAGACAAGCTTTAAACCTATATCTAAGCTGACAGTCTTCTGTTAAAGTGACCATATTCCCTAACCACGTTACTTAAAACCTGAGTAATTAGCCTAAAGTTTTGTCTAGGTAAAACACAGAAGTCAGTGTAGGAAGATGTGATTTAACCTTGGAGAAACAAAGTCTGAGAAAAAAAAAATAAAATTTGGCAAGCTAAGTTCCAAAATAGCACTTAGCTATGCTACACCTTTCCTCCCTGGAAAAGAATATGAGGAAGAAAAAGTCTTTTAAAGAATTGTCTAGCTACAGAAACTTCACTCTCCCCTCAACACTTTCAGCTGATATAACAGCACTCTCAGATGAATTTATAATAATAATAATGCAAACTGGACACGTTTTTCCAAATCTGCAAGTTACGCAAATGACAGAACATCTCTTTTTAGGCTTTGTTGAAGGTGTTATTTTTAAATATTACTTGCACGCTTTCTTGATCAAAGAGATAATGTACACTTCTTGATAGTAGTGTAGAAAAAGTAAAAGTGTGATTTGGGTCTTAATACCAAAATCATAAATTAAAAAAAAAACACATCTAGTTCTTTTAGCACCCCACTCCTGGTGCCACCCACCAGATCAGGCTACCAAGGGTCCCACCCAGCCTGGTCTTGGGCACCTCCAGGAACAGGCATCCACAACTCCAGGCAGCTTGTTCCATCCTCCCAGTAAAAGATTTCCACCTACTATGTAATTAGATCTTCCCTTTTTTAATTTAAAGTCCCACCACTATCTGACCATGTAAAAGTTGGTCTCCCTCCTGTTTAAAATCTCCCTGTAAGTACTGGAAGACTGCAATATTGAGCTTTTTATATGCATATTTCTGCAGAAAAAGCGTTGTATTTGTCTTTTTTTGGGCGCTAGAAAATAATTACAGCAAATTATCTTAGTGTTTCAGTTACAATACTTAGTTGGTTTCAAAATACATAATTAAATATTTCAGAGATTGATTTCTTTCTTCAAAAACAAACAAAATAAAACACAACAGCAGTCTGAAGACATTCCAGCACAAAGAATGGCTTTGTTTAACAGGAATCTGTACTTTTGGGGTGCTCTTCAGGAATGCTGGCACAGTTCAGTACTATGCAGGAACTGCAAGTCAAAAGAGCAGTAAGGGAAGTAATGATACAGTGTATGTACATGAAGAAAAAAGGGAGTTACTGAAAAAACAAGTCGATCATGTAAAACTGCATTGCAGTTTGCTCCCATTTCAACATATTTACAAGAAACTGACACATACCAGCTACAGCTTAGAGGTACCAAATTACAGTGTATCTAAAGAAAACAGCCCATCAAAAAATAGAAAGCTACATGAATGAGGTATTACATCATGTTGTACTCAGAAGGCATTTCTGAAACAGTGCTCTTGTATATTCTGATGACGTCAAATGCACATTTAAACAAAGGCATACTTAGAGTTCCAGACATTGGTAATGCACACACTAAGTCAGAATGTAGCTTAAATTCCATCAGGCCTCACAAAATCTCATGAAATGAAGGGAGGCAGGCGTACCAACTATATGCAGTATCCTTCAGGTAAATAGCACTGTATGTTGATTTTTGAGAAAATGAGCTACAAATAAATAAGCTAAATTTTCAAACTCACCTAAATATGGAATACTTGGAACCATTTTTAAGCTTCTGATGTACTCTCGTGTTCTTTTATAATTGTCCTCTTTAGAAAGTAAGTAGTCTAACTTCTCAAAAGTGGCCTTGTCTTTGCGATTCAAAAGCTACATAGAAAAAAAATGAAGATTATGCTGATTTAAAACTAAGAATCTGTGCAAAGACAAACAAATACTTATCTGAATCACCCACAGTACAGTCAAATTAAAATTCAATTGATTATCACCCACAGTAGCACGTTTGAAAAAAGTGTTGCTGCTAATTAAAAAAACTGATTTTAAATTTGATTTTAAATCTATGAAAAATACATTATTTCTGATTATAATCAATATTCTACATATCACTACTATGGAGTTTTGAATCATCTCAGCAGTACTAAAATTTTAGAGGAAAAAACATACATGATTTACAGTCTTCAAAATTTTCATAGTTTGTTAGAATTGCTTAAAAATCTTTTGAATTTTAGAGTACAAATAGTGCCATTTCAGAGTCATATTAGAAGTACAGTAATGTTTTCTGAAGGAAAAAGAAAGTGTAAGAAAAGTAAATTAGTATAATGCTTACACTCCTATTTTATATTACTGGACTTATTACAGCAAATCAGAAAACTATGCAGTAATGCAAAATATACTAATGCAACAAAAGATTAAACTATAAACATAACATATGCAATTGCAGCTATAAAAACAGTCTCAATTTCATTTGTTTTTAGATTTGTCAGCAGTATTTTTAAGATACTTTAAAAGCCAACTGTATTAGAATCAATGGAGAATTGTCACTCTGTACACTCACTCGCTGCTGTACAACACTATTGGCAGAAGCCCTGAGGTCTTCTGCAATTTTGGAACAACACAGACCACACAGTTAAGTAACTAACACAGTTAACAAACCAACACAGAAGTATGAAACAGAAATCCATATAAGGCAGAGCTGCTTTCAAACAAACTAAAAACAAACCCACCACAAACCCAGAAGACTAAGAATGTTGAGTGTCTTCTCCCAAAGCACAAAATAATTCATAGAATTCAGAAAAACTCAAGATTCAAACAAGAAAGAAAAGGCAACAGTCAAGGGATAACTCACAGCCCAGGTTTTGGTGAGTCTGAAGATGGGTGCACTTTGCAGTGCTGATACCACAGACATAAGAGAATGGAGATTATTCAGCTCTAGAAGCTTCTGTTAGAGAAAAAGAGAAAGAATGGAAAGTAGTAAGTTTTAGTATGTATAAAAGCAAAGCAGGATTAATTTAATCTCAAAGTTGCCTTTATAAAACAGAATTTTCATCTATGTCTTCAAACAAATAAAAAATCATCCAATGCTATCGATGTACGGAAATATAAAGATATCTTTAAAAGTTGCAATTTTTTCAAATAACTTCATCTAATTTGTATTATATGATTCTCATGATGCTCCATGACGAAAACACAGTAGGAAAATTTTAAAGTTCTTCTCTGTATATTACCCAAAACCAGTGGATATAAGAAAGCAGAGAGATGAAATGACACCAAGTTACAGGAAAATATGAAATACAAAATAATTACTTGGTTTATTGTTCTTGAAAATGAACATTAATGTATCAGTATACTTCTGGAAATCAAATATTTAAGCAGGCAGAAAGCATCAACCAAAGATGTCAATCATATTAATTATGAGAGGGTCACACATAAAATTTTAGATTATAGTACAATAAATATGCACTTACTTTAGCAGTTTTCACAAAATGGCTCAGTATTTCTGCCCTTATTTTTAAGGTCTGTGCTGTTAATATTTCTCGTACAACCCAAAAACTGACCTGTAAAGTAAACACATACAACTGAATTTATTTACAGTAAAGGACTTTACTGCCTGAGACATTTATAAATTACCGTGATGCTCTATGAAGAAAACATGGTAGGATAAAGAGAGTTCTCATCTATGTACTACCCAAAAGCATGCCCATTGGACATAGTAAGTAGGTAGATAAGTGAAGTGACACTAACGGAATAGGTAAGCTACACAAAAAGAAGGAAAAGAATTGCTACTATTCTACAACACATTGACAAAAGTAATTAGGAACCAAGTCTACAGGAACAACAGAGAAATATGGACAGAGTAACTGAGAACTGTCGCTTAAGTCTTAATCTTCATTTATAAAAATATTCTTACATTTTAATTCATAGAAGTAGATCTATTTCTCTTTGTACTTAAAGACAGCTGGCAAACAGTACTTTATCACATTCACCAAATTATTTACCTGGTTAAACCTCCTAGTGAAGGCAACAATATTTGGAGCAAGGATATGCTTTTCTTTCTTATTCCACCCACAGCTGGCTAGTTCCTAGGAAATATAAAGCCCTCCAAGTCAGTAACGTTTGAAAATGTTAAAAAGTACAGAAAACTGACACGAGATCTATTATGTACTGCTAAAACCAACCCAAGGCATCACTCATGAAAACTAGTCTAACCAAACACTTCTGTCTTTTCCTGATATACATATTTCACACAATTCATATATACTCCTGCTACCAAGAATAAACATAATTATTAATATTCAAACCAAAGGACACTAAGCAGGCAGTCACAACTGATGTCTCTGAAATTTAATTATGCACTTGATTTAGTCCAGGGTTACACCGTAGAAGAAAATCATGGCACAAAGGAGTAAGAGACATTGTTAATTTCTAATTTTAATTACTTCAAACTGGAAGTTAAAGCTAAACATATCAGTAAGCAATATTACAATTGAAGAATTATGTTGTTTTGTTTTTGTTTTTTTTTTTTAAGAGACACAGTAGAATTGTGCAACATGAGATTGTTAACTTAGCTACTATTCCTGATTGACATCCTCATTATTACAGTTAGTAAAACTTCCATGAATATATCACAGTTTAGCATGCTCACTCTCTAATTTGTTTTATTAAAATGTGAGATCTAAACCATTTAAAGAACACAAATTTGCAACTGTAATAGTAATGTTTACAATTGTTACAAAATAAAAGATAAAAACTGAAATCTCTGTAAGTGATATTCAGACCCAATGAATCCATAATTTGAACGATGGACAAGTAACAGTCTTTAAAGGTTTGGGTTATAGGTAGGTTGGTTTTGGTTTTTCTCATATCTTGTGGGGTTTTTTTTCCCGCGCCTTTATTTATTTGTTTATTTACTTATTAAGACAAAAGAGTTTAGCCAGACTTGACTGAAGCGTGGTTAGTACTTAAAAATAGTACTTTGATGCTAGTAAAGCAAGAGATTGCCAGCATGGCACATAGTTTAATCGCAGTCAAAGAAGCATTTTTCAATGCTCTTTCATCACAGAGACTAATTTAAAGTCAACCCAGTTCAAAAGAGAAAGAAAAATCAATTGCTGTACAGCAAAATATACTCTCATATAAAAAGCAAAATCAAAATAGATCACCGAAGTTCTTCGTAGAAGTATGTAGTTAACAGAAGATCTAAAAAACAATTTTCTCAATAAATTAACTATTATACATCGGAAGAAACTAGTAGTTTCTTGTAGATATATATTAGATTTTGCCAGAAAGTGTTCATTTTCCTGTAGTTACTTCTGGCAATGTCAGATATACTTAGACAGCCTGCCTCTTTTTAACTACAGACTCAAGTTTCCACATATCTATCTATACAGTTTTAACACAGATCTGACAAGCAGTCTATGTGCACATACTGAAAAATAAGTTCTCCCTAAAATCAGATCTGAATGATTTCTTTTGTTTTTGGAGTCACAAATTTCAGTATAAATCACAATGTTACTCAACTTTCCAAAAGGCAGAGAGTCAACAAAACTTCCACCTCCAAAAATCACATTGTACGCTGAACAATTTCTCCAGATACAGATGGCTACACGTTATTGCATGGGTACCAGAAAAAGTGTTTCAAGTTCCAACATATTTCAGATCTCTATCTTTCACCATTTAAGCCTTCCACAGTTGAAACATGAACTGACAAACTCAAAAAGGAGAGTTGTCCATTTTGACTTTTTTTTTTTTAAATAAACATCCACATATGGTAGGGCTTATAAAAAAGCATAACTGTGTCCTTTGAAGACAGATGACAAATCAAAGTAAACCAAGCTGGATTATTAGATATTAGATACAGTGCTAGCAGAGTGCAAGAAGTTGAGTGTTTCAAAATGAAAAAGCTTTACATAAATGGTTCCATTTCCACAGCACCCAAAGATGTAAACAGTTTAAAAAAAAAAACCTACCTCGGGCTGTATAGCTTTAAATACTGGCATATCCATTAATGTAATTTGGCTCTGCAATAAAGATAGAATTTTAATTCATCCTATATGAAGAGTTAACAATTACATGTTTACATCTTCTTGATATGGCCCTTCAAACATACAGTACTACTTTCTCCACAGACCAGAAGTGATCAGCCCAATTAGGCCACCCCATAGACTGTCATACCACAAGAATGTCACCTGAGTGGAAACAAGTCATTTCGCACTTTTACATTTAATTGCTGCAACTGGGTGATGGCTTTCCGTACCTGTAGCAAGAACTAAAACTAGGTTTCTCAGAGTCTCAGGTTTGTGCACTTACTGACATAACAGAAATGGCAGGAAAAATTATTTGCCCATCACACAGAAAGCAGACTATCACCGTCTTGAAATGCAATAGCGTATTTTGATATTAACTAGGTGTAACTGGAACATGCTTTAAGGAGCTCACACATTTTAATTACTCATGAGTGTCTCCAGATAAGACATCATAATGCTGTTACAAAGCCAATGATTTTTTTAAAAAGTACTTGTAGACTGCTCAGCATGCTGACTATCAGAAACTTCTATTGTTTCCTAATTACAATGTATACACTGAAATCCTGCAAAATATATTTGAACAATAGGTTTGCCAATTGTACAGTAAGTATCTAAATTTACTGTGCTTTTAACTTTGTAATTCCCACAATTCAATACTTAAAAGAGTGTCTCTAACGAATGCTTCTTTGGATCTTTCCCCAGGAAAGCTTCTTCGTCAGCTGCTCTGTTTTCCTAAAACAATGCAATAACTTCCAAACCAATTTTCAGAATATTCAATTGATTACACCAATTAAGAATCGTAACTTTCCATTTAATTCAGATATTAAAAGTTTCTACTATTAGTATAAATCCTTAGTCATGAGCCTAATGAGAAAAAATTTCCTTCCATAAATTGTTATTTATTTTTAACGAAGACGTTGCTACAAATTCCCAGCTGACCACTCTTAGCTGTCAGGTAAATCAAGAAAAGTTTTCAATCTGGGACAAGAGCAACAACTCCTCTGGCTAAGGAAGTTTTCATGTTAAAAGACTGCAAGATCATCAAGAAATAAACACTAACAACTACAAAGAAACAAACAGCTTTTATCAGCAGGGTTCTTGGTCATGGCTGATAACCAAAATCATCATTATTTAAAGGGAAAGTTACCGTGGCTTTTGATTACCACTAGAACTAAAGAAAGAAAAAAGGATTACAAATGTTTGGACTTGGGAGCTAAAAGATATCTTAAATGACATAACATACATGTATGCACATGTATGCGTTCTTAAAGTATACCATTAAATAAAGACCTTCACCAACAAGCTTCTATCTCAAACCAACACAGTAAAAATTTTGAACATAACAAAAACTGCTGAGTTGTGAATTACATGCAACCTTAAATCAATCAGATAATTTTATAAATCCATTTTAGAAATCACCACAAGTGCATTTTGCTTGTGTTGAGTACATTGTTCTGAGCTATCTTCAGACTTCGTATCGTCTCCTCTGATAAGATTAGTCAACGTTATTTTTCTGATTTTACACAAAATTGTAAAACTTTGCCAAAAAGGAGCCAAAATGGCAGGTCATTTTTTTTCAAGCTGAGTTGATACAGATCTGCCATCCAAGTATTTTTACATTTCTACCTAACAACAGTTTTCATCTGTGCATTCTGGATCACTGTTTGAAAAAAGATTCATCGCAATTTTTTTCCGAAGTGACAAACGTACAGGAGTAACGTAGCCATATCATTATAGAATACTAGAATGGCTTGGATTGGAAGGAACCTCAAGTTCCAACCCCACTGTCACAGGCAAGGTCATCAACCTCCATATGTAATACTAGACCAGGCTGCCCAGGGCCCCACCCAACCTGGTTCTGAACACCTCCACATCTTTTTTGCGAAGGTGGCATTACAGGTATGATCTTAAGACAAATGAATGGAACACTGTTTTGATGATCAGAACATTCACGGAAACATTGAACTAGGTTCAGTAACTGTCATCCTCACTCTTTCTGGTTCCTCAGGAAGTTAACGTGTAAATTACACAGTAAGAGACAAACCATGAATACTCCATAGACTCACGCCAAATCAGCAGCTCTGCTTTCTGTTTGGTACTTAGCATTAATGACTACAAAGTGTCATTACCGTTTTTAAGAAGCAGCTTTTTCTGAGAAACTGATGTTTCACTTGAAAATATGAGTATTTGTGGTTTCAATTAAAACAAACAAACAAGCAAACAAAAAACAACAGAACTACACATACCTAGCATTATGTATTATTACCAAGTGTACTATTTTCTGAAACACTGGGGAAAAAAAAAAATCAAATAGCTTTAAGTAGAAAGCAAATATACTATGTCAATTCAGCACTGAAATATTAGACCCTGAGACACAGTTCATATAATAGATTTGTTTTTTATATTCTGCAGGCTGCAAAGAGTATATATGCATAAATGCAAAATAAATATTTCTACTTACAGCAAACTCCTCAGGAGTTACTTTTAATACATCAAATACAACAGCATCATAGCTCTTATTGGCATAATCTGAACTTCGCCCTTCCAGAGAATCTGAGCTGCTACTGCCCTACAAAGAAAAAAGAAAAAAAAGGACACATCTGCAGACTGGTTTAAAAAAAAAAATAATCAAGAAATTATTCAAAAAAGCATGGACATCAAAAATATTCATACTTTTAAATTATTGTTTAGCTTCACATGGTTTGTGAATGCTGCCAGCATATTTCAGAAAACTTCCTCCTGTAAGAACTAAAGCAACATATAATTCTAGCTGTATGGATTTTCCAGCTTTTGAAAGCTATGTCTGAAATACAGATAAAAGATATGTCACATAAAGGCAAACTTGGGATATTGAATATTCATATCCAGTGGAAATGTTTCAATTAAATATGCCAAGCAAAGAGTAGGAATTGTAGGCAGATCTGAATCATGCACACAGAGAAGGGAAAGAAAAAAAAAGGGAAAACTGACATATTCTGAAATGTAACTGAAGTACTAACCAGAACATTCTCCTCAGGAAGCCCTTAGGGTGCAAACATATGGCACTGGGGGGATGTTTCCTGTGTGCTTGTACTGCCCCTATGCCCCTCTTCATGCATTTGCAGTTGGTCACTTTCAAAGGCAGAATAATGGATTAGAAGAATCTTTGGTTTGACCATGGAGACTACTTATGCTCTGAGATATCAGATAGTTTTGTCCCGAGAAATGGCTTCTTCGCACCATTTTAAACAGGACTTTTAATTTAAAAGGGAATCAGAACTGTGTTTACACATCCAGTTTGAAATTATTCCCATCTTGAGAGAAGGCGGCATTTATATCATATTTGAGAAAAATCTTCTGCAGGCCACACCTGTATCATGTATTTTTGATTTGTTAAATAGCTTTTGAAGTTCACGGGATTCAAATTTTGCGTGCAGAAGGTGCCACTATGGAAAAAGTTGCTTCACACAGTTCTTTAGGTTTCTTCAGGGAACAAGAAGTAGAATTTCTCAAGTAGGGAAGAATGTCATCAAAACATTACCTTATTCAGAAAGCAAATGTAATCCCAATCATACATTTAAAACGTGCTTCACTGGGTAAAAAAAGAGAAATTCAGTGGAATAACTAATTTCTAAGCATTCTTCAGTTGGCTATCTTGGGCCTAACAAATACAGCCCGCCATCTGTACACAGATCATATAGATCACTCTGTTTGTCGCCTGGTCTTCAAAGGATACAAAGGATTAAAATGAACCCCATCTTACAGACTATTAGTAGACTAGTAAATTTCTTCCCCCAAAAAAGAAAACCAACTAGATGGAATATATCTGACTGCCTCTATCTGGTGGTACGCTACATTGTTCTTATCTTGTTAACAGATAATGGTATTTTCAGAAATGTACATTATACAGTAACTGGTCAAAAATACTGTTTAAAACTAATCTAAATCAGTTATTGTCATTATCAACAACAAAAGAATAGGCTCAGAACCATGGAGCTCAAATTAGCACGTTGTCAAATATTAATCACAGAATCAGCGAATCATAGAATCACATGGTTGGAGAGGACCTACAAGATCATCTAGTCCAACCATCTTCCTACCATCGTTACTACCCACTAAGCTACTAACACATATCTTGCAGCAGTCCATCCAGATGCCTCTTGAACACCACCAGGGATTTTACACCATTCATAAGAAACACAACTGACATGACCTACAGTGTAAAAGGGCTTCTCTGAATTTTGAAACAAACCAAACGTTTTGTTTTGATAATGGAGATGAAACAATACAATTAAACAAAACAAAAAACAACAGTGAACTGTACCTCTGGAGTGGCAGAGGCAACCATCACATTGGCCATGAAGTCATTCCTTTTATACATGCTCGCACCAAGAAGCAAAAATTTTCAGCTCCACCAGCACTGGAAATACAACATGACAAAAACAGAATTCCTGTAAAACAAATGTATTCATGAAAATAAACACAAGAAATTTCACCATTCTTTTCTCTGTGAAAAGAATCTTAGAAATGATGTAATTGTAAAGGCTAGGTCCTTTTTTTGCCTTTCAGGTACCAGCTCTTAAGGACTGTAAGCGAGTATCATTAAAGCTCTGCCAAATCCTTATCTCCACTTTCAATTAACTCAATAAGAGTTCTGTTTGTTTGCTTTAAAAAAAATAAAAGGGTTGGCATTTAAGTTGAATCAGATTTTACGTAAAAACTACATTCATTCATCCAGAAACTGCGGGATAAAAGAACACATTTACAGTCAAGAAACTGAAACAACTGACTGAAGAAATGGTGTTTCCTCACAATTCCCTGCTTATCACTTCTGAGTGCATTATTTACTCTTATAAATGGTAATTGAATCTGACTGTATCTTTGTAAGACAGAAGTTAGACTAATAGCTGCTCAGACCTCCACTAATATTTACACACGTGTGTGCCTGAAAGGATTTTGTCAAGTCACAAAGAATAGATATTTTCCAGAGCAGAGAACCAGTCAGCATCACTCTCCACTGTAGGAAGGCAGAATCTCAGGGATCCTGGATAATCCAGCATGGTCTGAAGTAAAAATTTTCAAATGGTCTTCAAGCAGAAATGCAATTCCAAATTGGCCTGGGACTTCACACACATAATATACCACATTAAGCTTCCCCCAGAATCCAAAGACAGAATGGCCAAAAAAACCTTACGTAAGTGATACAAGGAAGACATTATCTCTGTCTAGTTGGTTGAAATAATTCATTCCAGCTACACTGCTGCAGAAACACAAAAGAGTCGAATGAAAAATGAAAAAAAAAAACAACCAAGCAACAAAAAAACCCACTAACGTATTGCAGCACTGGCTTTACAGATGTTGAGCACAACAGTAATACTCTCATACAAAAGAACCACTCAATCTTTAAGTACAAATAAATACAAAACACTGAATTCCTAGGAATTCAGCAAAGAATCATCTTCCTGATATCATGAAATCTGATTGTATTTCCTTGCACGTATTTTAGCAGTCAATGCTTTAAAGGATAAGTAGATGGACAGAGGTAGATATAAGTTATCAGTAATTAAACGGTCTCTCAATCAGAAGAAACAACTTCTATGCAAACAGACACAACTGAAACAACAGCTGATTTGACTACAGAAATTCAGATAGTTTGAATTCCTGTAGATAGTTCATAATAACCCTACAAAAATTTTCAAAATAAAATCAGTTATACAAATACAACTTGTGCTTCCACATACAAAAACATTCATTTTGTTCAAAATGTTATGGAAGAGTAAATAAAAGATATCCTGAGCAACTCTATTTTCAAATCTACATTGAAAAAAAACAAGAAAACAAACAACCATAGAATCTGACCATAGCATTTACTAATTCAAAATACAAAAAACAACCTTCTATTTTAGCTTATTTAGGAAAGGTGAGATTTTCACTGCACTCACAATCTCACTGACATGCAAAATTAATCAGTATCTCTGTTGAAAATGATGCCAGAATCATCTCAAACTGGCCAAGAAACAATTTCCTTTATCTCACATATAAAAAAATTTTTGTTTTGAGCAGTAAGAGACTGCAAATTATTTTTGGGTCTGGAATTGTTCCTGTTAAAAGCCCTTAGAGATACTCAAGTGGAAAGCAATATTTTATAATGGAATTTCTTTCAAATGTGGCACCTACAGCATGGCCATAAAAACTCTCATCTCTTCCTTCTCCAGATTCTTGACTAGGCTTTCCAGTGCAGGAACTAAGAAAATGCTATCACTGCGGAACAGAAAATCCTGCATGTGATCTTGTAAGCTGCCCAAGGTCAGTTTTACTGCTAATTTTAACGTTCACTACAAGAGAGACAAAAGTGCTTTAATACCTGAGACCAAAAGCACTAACATTTTTGCCAGTAGCAAAATGGATGAATCAAGGTGCAAATACACATACCAAACAGAGGTTGTTGGTTCTCTGCTGCCAACTTAACAAATATATTTAATGTAAGCATTTATTCCCCTTGTAGTAATCAAGTAAAATTGAAAAAAATCAAATCAAAACTAAAAATCCCCACAAGAATAATCCCTAGAGCAACTATGCCACTATTCTACCCACATTTGTCAGATTTTGTCATCTGTGGCACCGAAGTGGGACTCTCTGGAGTCAATTTTACATTGATTTTAGTGATATGTATTTATTTGACAAGGACCACAAATTCATTATGCAAAAAAAGTTGTGAAGGATTCTGAAGTACAGATATCAGCTCTGGCCAAGAAAGTTCCCATGTCATAAATTCTGAATGCTAGCAGAGCATTCAGGAAAACGTCTTTAAAAAAATATGAGAGTAATAATGTAAACAACCACTGGTGATCATTCCTCATTAGTTTTCTTGATGGAGGAAAAAATACCAGGATATACAAACGTCTGATCAGACCTAGTAGAGCCATTCTGAGCTCTAAACTACAAACATCTTCGCCAATTTCAAACCTTACTTACTACCTTTTTTTACTTCATTGTGGTTTTCCTAAAATCTCTGAATCAGGAAATAAGTGTATCACGCTTTAAAAAAAAAAAACAAAAAAAACATACTTTAGTATATTACCAAGAGGTAATAGTTTTTTCCTATGGTTAAATTAGCTGCTCACCTGTTCAGTGAAGACAATTAAAAAACACTAGGGCCCCGTGTGAACACTGATAAACTAGGTTGAAATCATTGGAATTTACCAGATTGGTTTATTAAAAAAAATAAAATGGTACCAAACATCAGAATGATCAGCTTTCACTGACCAAGGCAAGTGAGTGAGTAATACCAAAAGTATGTTGTTTTCAAGATTTATCTCCAGCAAGATAAAAATGTTATTCCATTTTCACAATTTTTTTAGGCAGTTGTCACAACCTAAGGACACATCTACAATAAACTGTGCTGAGTTCTATGTTCAGCTTTGGTTTATGATCACTGCACTCATTTTCCTGTTTCTTCATTCCACAACTATTCCTCCAGATGTTCAACATTAGAATATTTCTTTCCTTCATGAACCATGAACAAAATCATATTCAGATGCTGTGGGCGTAGAGTGCAAATGAAAATATGTTAGTACAGTATTTGAAGAGGAAAGTGGGACTGTATTAAGACAACAGGATGAAACACTAACGTGGTTATAATTGCACCCCTGTGTTTGCATTCAGCCACTGATGTGAAACATATATCACCACTTACACCACATCCAGCTGCAGCCTAGAGGCTTGAAAGAGGTAAAACAACCCCACTGTTTTGCATTTTTAATAAATACAAATTGAAAGGGAAGTAATATCAAGGTAACCTAGAACCATGTTTTGCTGCTTCTCCACTTCAAAGTAGTTACACAGCTTTTTTTGTCTTGAAATTCCTTTTGCTTACTGTCATTGTCTTAAAAATAAAAATGAAATGAATTCTCAAAATTATTCTGAATCTGAACAATTTACAGCTGCTTTGTCATTGTGGTGACAGAGAACACCAACTCAGAAGCACTTTTCAAGGAGAATTTCCTCAAACTTTTTCAAAAAGCAACTACTGAATGCTGTAACAGGATACTCACTAACCTGGAGAAAAGTAATGCACAAACTTCAGGAGCACTGAGCAACAGCACTGTAAAATCACTTCACTCCTGACTGACAGAATTGCCTCTGAAGAGTTTAGTACCCTCAGACACCAGATCCTATCTTTATTTTCCCCAAGTGCCTCCATCCAGTCACATACCAATTCTCAATCTCCACTTCTCATTCCTTCCCACATGATTTTTACGAAGTGGAAAGGAAAAGGATCATATTTCCAATTATAAAGGCAGAAGTGGTCAACTTCTTCCTTTGGAAAAGAGCATCATTTTATACACTATTCTTTCATGACATACAATGACATACAATCTATACATAAACATACCTATGAGCATCTAGACAGCTGAATTGTCTAGTTACAATGTTTTACATGAACAAGTTCTTGTCCTGAAATAATTCAGCACTGAACATTTTTGGCCATTTTGTACAAGACAAAAATTCTGACGTATTCAAAACAAAGAATAATTGCCTACTAACAGTTAAGAAAAAAGTAATTAGGCCTTTACACTTATGTAACTAAAGTCCTTTTAAGTGACAATCGTCTTGTGTGAGTATTTCATAGCCATTTCACCAAGAAGTTCCTAAAATAAGTTCCATGGTGCTTTAGGCAACAGTACCACCTATAGATAAAATAGGTCACAAACAAGCTAGTAGCTTCATGCACATTCTTTTCTGAGGATCTTATTACAGCTAATGATGAACAATGCAAACCCAATGGAAATTAAGCATATAGCTTCACAGACCAGTATGGGATTTTATGTTCTTAGAAGAAAAACAGTATTTCAAAGTTCAGTACAGGAATTTAAAGCATTCACTGTTATACCACCAGATTGAGCAGGATTAATAAGGAAATTGCATCTCATTAGCCTTGTCAATCTACAACAAATTGAAATAGGAACATAAAAATATATAAATATTTTTAACATTCTCTGGGTTAACTATGTGTGAATCCTGTCATTGAGGAGACTGCAAACTGAAAGGTAAATGAAGAGTTTTCGATAACATGCACTATTCCTGAGCAAGCAAACTGAAAAGCATCATCTGATGACAAAAGTTGCCAAAGAATCAAGTCTAACTCATGTAGAAACAGATTTCTCCTACTAAAATTGTTTGATTTCTCCTATTTCCACTTCTCTGGTGCATGTGTACTTTAAGTTCTGTCATGAAGAAAGAAGGACAAATATTCCAAATGCCAGTAGCTATTGTAGTGAGTTTTAAGAAATAACTTCAAATTCCAGGTCTCAAACTACTTGGGTTTTATGAATGTACACAGTTGATTTGAATTATATCTAACAGTAGATTAGAAACAACATTCAAAGCTCAGTTTGTTTTTTATGATATGCCCTGTAAAACCCTTTTCATTGTCACTGAAAAACACTCAAGCAGTAATTTCTAGTTAAACATTGCACTATGTTTAAATTTCCCAACAAAAGTAGTTGACATCTAGCCTGCCACACTAACCAGCATTAACATACCATGAAGCAGTAAACACTATATTAGAGCAAGGACTAGTAGTTGCAGTATTTTCCACAAAAGCAGAACAGCCTTTGCAGTTTCCAAGTGCCCTATAAATAATAAGATGGTTTTGCGTTGAAATGTTAGAAGACAGCAGGAGTATCGCGCATGTTCTGCCTCCCACTGGAAACAAGAAGTTGCATTTCTTAAATTAAGAAAATAACTCCAAGCTACTTCTGCACCCCACATCCCGCCTCCCCCCCCCCCAAAAAAAAATCCAGCATCCTTTGCTACTACTTAGAATGTCTCATTCTGTGTCAACCATAAAATAGACTTATTCTCTCCAAAACTGATTTGTTTTAGAACACTTCAGTGTTTGCAATGTTCCACTAGGCAGCAGTGATTCTTAACTTATTAAAAGGCCTATTTTCAAAAGGTCTTCATTTTTTTTGTTTTAGTACAGAATCACAACTGAGAAAATCTACTAAAAACAAATGCACATGCTTAAGAAATTAAAATGGAAATGAGTTCTTTTAGGTTCTTCTCTTATGCACAATCACTCAGAAAATCTATTTTTCAGTGTCCTTTGGAAAAATGGAGAAAAAGTGTCATAACTTGGTTGATGTGAAATCAGTAAAAAAGACAATGCTAGGCAGTGCTTAACTGTGCTGTGTCCCAATTAAGGTACCCAGGTCTGGACAATACTTTAATTATTCACATTTTCCAACATTCCAAACTAACATCATAGGTGTTAATTTTGCAGTACTGTTTTGATGAAAGAGCAAGCGTTTTGGAAGAGATATGTAAAGCGTAGCAACTAGTGACTAAATCAGGCAAAGCAGTAGTGGTAATCTATACTCCAGTAATCAAAACATCCACATAGGAATGGATAAATATTCCTTCATTAGCATTAAGAGTTATTTACCAAAACTGTTGTCATGTTTGTTCACTGCTTCACCAGCAGAAAGTTAATTCAGAAATCCTACTGTCTCTCAGAGACTCTGTAACATCCATAACTTTAACACCCATCTTTTTACAGAATCGGTGAGGCTGAAACAGTTCAATCCATCTGCTCAAGAAGGGCAAGGTGCTCTACAAAGTTCAGATGAGTTTTGATTGCCACCATTCTGCAGTATTTCTGGGCAATCTCTTCCAGTGCTTGACCATTCTCAAAGCAAATCTCATGCTTAGATGACATTTCCTGGTTTTGTTCTGTGGTCATTATCTCTCTTCCATTCACTGAGTAGCACTGAAAAAAGTTTGCCTCTATCCTCTTCACATCCTCTCACCAGGTGCCTCTATACATTGGTAGCATTTCCCATGAGCCTGCTCTTTTCCACAATAGGCAGCTTTCAGTCTCTCATTACATGAAGGATGTTTCAGTGTCCTTAACCATCCTCATGGCCCCCTGCTGGACTCATTCCAGTACGTCCATAACTTTCTTGAACTATGGAGCCCAGCACTGAACAGCACTCCAGATATTACGTAATCAGGTACTGAGTACAGGAGATGGATCATATCCACCAGTCTGTTGGCATTGTTCTTCTTAGTGCAGCCCAGCACTTTCACAGTAACAGAACAGTTCAACAAAAAACAGTAATGACCAAAAAAAAAAAAAAAACACAACCTACCAACAACAACAAACAGGGGAAACAAATTCCCTTTTCTATCCCACCCATTTTTTCTAATGAACTAATGATGAGTGCTCATGACTTTGGTAAAACAACTTCTGCTACTGAAGAGCCTTCAACATTGACAAAGGAACAAATGTGCTTGTGTGAAAGCACAGTACAACAACAAACAAAACCCACAACCATCAGGGAATAGCTAACTGTACAAATCAATAGACACAAAGACCACATGAAAATCACAGAATCCATGATCATTACAGTGTGGCACAAACACTTCCAACTTCTGAAAAATACCACAACTTCATTTCTCAAGAAAAAACAGGGAGAAAGAAATTGGGGGAAATGAAGCAAATGCTTTGATGACTCTTCACTTAATGGAAAAGACGACGATTGCTATATGGAATTAACCAGATCTTTAGATTTGAATCCTTCGGGGTGATAACTAGAAAACTGCTGAGCAATAAACTTTTGACTACTCAGTGATGCCTGTTGTGAATATATGGACAAAAGCGACTATAGTTTAATTAGAGAAACTTTCACTTTTGGTGGGGGAAAGAGGAAGCAAGAGCAAACAGAATCAGCAAACTCACTGCACAAGAAATAAATTAGATGCCTTAGAGACAATTTATTTGTTAGAAATACCAATGTAAATCTAGAGAAGACTTCTATGCCTCAATCAAAACTGAGGGATAGAGATATTCGTTATTTTGGGACCATTCAAGTACAAAAAAAGACCTTAGATAGCGTAAATGTCTACTTATTTCAGTTAATGTGATCCAGAAGGCAACCGTAACTATGATGTTCCTGAAACAAAGAACTCAGGAAAAGATATACACACAGGAGGAATTCAGAGATTACTACTGGTCACAGTGCATAGGGTCACAGTGAGCGCGGGTTCTGCTTCCAACAAGGTGTAACAGACAAAATCTATACCAAAAGAAGCTGACAGTCACTGAGGGTGATATTGCAATCAGCCAAGACAATGCTCAAGAACATTACTCACTCCAGTTGTCTTAGGCTTCCTCTAGACATAGATGCTAACACTAGCAGAGAAAGCTATCTCATGCCTCTCAAATGACTGGTTTAAAACTGATGAGTCTGGAAGCAATACTCATTCCCACAGATGACTGTGTGAAAGCAACTTGACTGTAATACATATATCAGACCAAGAAGGCCATCAAATCAGAATCTCCAGTTCAGCCTCCTATTGACACTCTATAAGGAATGACTGTGAACTGCTGGTCCCACTTTCCCAGAACAGTGAAAGAACACCGTATTCCTACATATATTCTGGCTACTTCCAGAAATGCAGCTGTGGAATTAAATTGCTTTATCTTAATACAAACAACATGCAGCTGATATTCTGCAGGAGTCACCCTTACAAAAGCAGCTCACGGAGGTTGTCTACTGACACCTGAAAAAAATAAAATAAACATTTATAACGTAGAATAACTGTTTGTTGTGGTTAACTGATAATTACTTGAGTTAAAAAAAATATATGACCACCATCTTAGCAAATGGTAAGCAAATGAAAATTATTAGATAGAAAGAGGGGGAAAAAAAGAGAGAGTAAGCACTGCTGTGTAACACTGAAGGTAAAAACGTGACAAATATTTATCAGCTTAACAATGCTAGCTACAAAAATAATACATATCCTCAACAAAGAATAAAGAATAAATGTCTATTCTGAGAATCTGATACCATCATGATCCAGATCAAAATAGAGCTGCAGTTTTCTCTGTGGGAAAAGTAAGTCTTCTCACAAAAGCCAGTACTACACAAACAAGTCTGCTAACTTACAACAAGATATATGTTTGAGAGAGTTACAAATTCATGTAAGTCTCAAAAAAGCAGTCACAGAAAAAGAAACATCTGCAATATTACTGCAATAATTACTGTCACAACTCTAAGTTCCTTCAGCAAAAGAGCACTGAAAGACAACTCAAACAAATAAAAACAGTAAAATACACATTCTAATCACTGATGAATACTTACAGAATAAAGTAGATCTGCACTCATTCAACCCATTTTGCTGCACATCTTCAGTAGGCCACTGTTCAGATTCAATACCTCTGACCATAGAGTAGTTTTATCTTGTTTATAAGCATGACATTCCTGCAAATTACCAGAAAACAGAATTATGGCAATATTATTATATAACTCACTTCTTCTTGAAATGTGGATTTCCAACCTGAAACATGTCCAGGGTATTTTCATTGGATTTTTCAGGAAACATCCTCCCAGCTTCAAATCGTTCTGGTGGCTAATTCCATGTCTAGTTTGACTAAGGCGTGACAAATTCCAAAACTCAAAAATGAAGGTGACATCACTGATGAGAAGCAACATTAAGGATTTCATAACTAATTATTCTCCAAATAAATACCTGCAACTCTTGCTCACACCATCAGTCAGTAAAACTTCCAATCAGACATGGCTATAGTTATTAGTAAACACCATCTCATTTTGGTTCCCTCAAGACTTAACTAAACATAGCAGAATGGCAAAATACAATCAATAATTCTTATTTTTTATACTGGCAAATTAAGAACAGCCCTTTTAGCAAACAAGACCAGCAGCAAACCTGATAAAATACTCTTCTGGTAACTCACCTTGATGACATTGAACACATGCAGTTCATACTAGCATCACAGAAAGCAATCCTTTGCTTGAAAGGTACTTTTCTCATCTCACACTCAGAACTTATCTGTGCTTCTAATAAACACAGAGCAAGAACTCTCTGCCTAAGCCAAATATCCTGAATCACAGAAGAATCAAAGCACCAAGTTACAAATGAGTCAGTATCCACTGAAGTATTTCAACCAAAAAGAAACGTAATGCATACTCTCATTCCATCTCATCTTTGTCAATCAAATTAGACCCTGGCAGTTTTGTTTACTTGCTTTTTGGGGACACAGTCTATTCAATTTGTTTCTTTCACTCTGAATGTCTCCAAATACCAACTTTCCAAATAAAATTTTGATACATCTGAAAAAGTTGTTTTTGCAAACGCCGTGCTCTCCACAAATGCTAGCATGATAGAACACTTCAGCTAGGCAGAAATAATTGTTTCTCCACCTTCACACTGTTAATAGCCAAAGGTCACTTGCTATTTAAGGTGCAGACACCAGTTAGGCAGACAGATTTTATCAAGAACAGATATATGTGACACACATTATGTCAGCAAACAAATGCAGGGAAGAAAATAATTTATTATTGAAAATTATCATTGATATTCAGAATACTAAAGGAGACTTCTATGTCATCTTTTCATCTTGAGACCAATATTTGTTCACGACAAAGCACATTTCACACAACAAAAACAACAAAAATCATTTAAAAAATAATCCAGGTATTTACTATATTTGATGAAAAGCTTGTTAGCAAAAGAAACATTCAGCATTAAATATATGAAGGAGTGACAAAAACAACTACCACCACCAAAGCTATAAAAATTAACTCACCTCAAATCATGCCATAGACAAGCGTAGAATATATCAAAATCCTTACATTTCATACCGTCTGCTAAAGGAACTAGGAAAGCTTCCACAAAGTTCCCATCTTCTCAATTTCTTTGGTTTAATATGTTCCTTCAGAAAGTATCTAAATATTTTTTTTTTTGGAGAAAAATACAGATTTTTAGTACTTAACGTAGTTTATTTTCTTAGTTAAATATATTTATGCTTATTTAAGAGATGGGATACTGAATTTCTGACTTACTACTGCTTATTGAATAAAAAGATGTTAGTCATAAAAGAAAATAATTGGAAACAGCATATTTTAATATGCTGTCTTTATTTCTTTGATGAAGGATCAGCTATGCTTCGCTAAGCACAAAAATGAAGTCTACATTCACATATCAGTTGCAGGGTTTTCTAATTCAACATTTAAAAATCTGGAAACACAAGTCAGCGTACAAAACACCTAAACCTGTTACTCATTCTCCGTTACTTGAAGATGACATTTCATAAGATAAACCTAAAGATATTACAGTAACATTAAACCAAACGTTAGTTTATTGAAATAAAAGAACTTTCTTGCACATCTAGCATATCGCTCAGAAAAGAATATTTATGATGAATAAACGCGACCTAAAGATCAAATTAAAGTTAGGCTTTCAGTGACAGAAAATAAGACAGTTCAGATGCAAGAGGACAAGATGAGAGAACTAGGTTTGTTAGCCACAATAATTGTGGAATTAAGTGCACCAACAGCAAGTTTGCTGACAGCAGCAAACCAACTGGTGCAGCTGACAGAAGAGAAGGAAGAGATGCCATCCAGGCGCAGAGACATGGGCAAGCTTTGCAGTAGGCCCATGTGAACTCAGAGAACCCCTGCTTAAACAAGAGATAAAGTCTGTTGAATGAGAGCTTTACAAAGACAAGCGCCATTGAAAACTGAAGTTTGAATTGAAAGAAAAGCAAAACACGTTTTGTAGTCGTTGAAAAAGAGAAGCTTTAGCTCCAGTTCTCTGACCTCTTTTTTGCCTTTGGCATTGGTCACTACAGAAAAAAATGACAGAACAGAAAACATAACTGACATGGTCACTAATGGATTTTTAAAAAGTAAGATTTTTAAAAACTTTAAAAATATATTTTTAAAAATAAGTTTCTTAGACTTTTAGATTGACAAAAGCTGTGCTTCCTATGCAAGCTCATTTTAAATTTGTTTATATTTGTATGCGTGATAACTGAAACTCTCCTCCATTTTCTAAAGCTTTCCTCCATTAATGCTTTTAAATACACTTTTGTAGACACGTACAACATTGATTACAAAGAGCACTGAGGACCTAGAAATAATGTTTATATGGCCAGAAAGCAAAGTACATACAGAAAACTAAGTGGGTGAATGAACAACTTCATAAAAATACAGTTTTCTAATATTTCTCTTCTAAACTGATGCTATCATGCAGGACAGAAAACAAAGAAAACTGACAAAGAAGTACAAATCATACAATAAATCATTACAAGGAATAACGTGAGCATCCCAACACAAAAATGAACCAGAATTTAAAAGCATCTGTTAGGTACAGGAGGGAATATCTTTCCAGATGCCAACACAGACAAATCCAGATTTAATGCTTTCTCAAAAAAAGATGAGAGTAACTGCACTCCATTTTCACATCCACAGAACTACAGACCGGGGACACGCTGCATTTCTGTAGCCAAGCATTTCAGCAGCTCTTTCTCCACCAAACGCCAATGTCTTGACACCCTGCAGCCTGTTGCAGCGTGGCTCAAGTTTTAACAAAAAATAACTTGAAGTGATCTGACAACAGATCTCAGGCAACCAAGGCTCCTTAGAAGTATCTGAACAATATGACCTGCACTACGTGAAAACAGTTTTCAAACGTAGTCCTGAAGCTCAGTGGAGGATGTAGTCAAATCCAGAAGGTTTACGTCTGCACTTTCCATTATCCAGCCAACAGATACTGAGTCTCGAAAAGTACAGCACCTCCCGAACCCCCCGGGCCCCAAAGCAACAACCTCATTCTATCGCAGCTTCCACGCCCTGAAAACCCAACCGGTCAGCAAACCGTCCGCGCAGCGGCCGCTCCCGCACGGCTCGCAACAGGCCGGCTGCGCCCGGTGCTTGGAAGGGGCGGCAACGTGAAGCGGCAAGGATAGGACGCGCCGCGGAGGTGCGCGGCCCGGCGCCGAGGCGCCGCTTCGGAGGGGACGCGGAGGAAGCGACGGCTCCTCCGAGCCCGAGCGCGGCTCCAGCGGAGCCCGGGGACGCTCCCACGGGGCAGAGGTCCCGCGGCGGCGGGCAGTTCCGGGGCCCCGCATCTCACACCCGCCCGGGGACCGCGCCGCCCCCACTGAACGCCGGACAGCCGCGCACCCCCCCCCGGCGCTCGGGCTCCGGCCGGGCCCGTGGCCGCTGAGCTCCGCCCGCTGCACGCGCCCGAGGCGGGGACGGGAACGACGGCGGCGGCGATGGGCACAAAGGTGCGCTGCGGCGGAGGGGGCGCAGCCCGGCGGGGCGGGGCGGGGCTGGCGCGGCCGTCCCGTGCCGGCGAGGAGGGCCCGGCCGCGCAACACCTGTCCCGTACGGGACGCGGGGCCCGGGCGCGTCTCACCTGTCCCAGAGGCCGCGGCCCCGGGCGACGCCCGCGAACCTTCTCGATATCAGCGCCCCAGCAGCAGGAGAGAACCGCAACCCGCCCGCTACAGCCACTGAGAACGAGGCCCGAGCCGGCGAAGGGGGGGGGGCCCGAGGGAGGGGACGGGGCGCGCCGGACTGACGGGCGCACCAACCAACCGCTGCTGCGCACGGCAGCGCTCGCCAATCCGCGTGCCGCGGGGCGGGGCCACGCCAGCGAGCGGCCGAGTGCGCAGGACCGCCGGTGCCTGCAGGTGCGCGGCGCTGCGCCGTTTGTAGGAGCGCGGGGCTGCTGCGCGGTGCTCGGCCCGGTTTGTTCCGGCTGACAAAAACCGCATCGGGTCGGGCAGATCCTGGGACGAGTTGAGCCTCAGGGTTGCAGCGGAGGGGGGGGTGGTATCCGGGCTACTCGGTGGGACAGGCCTTGCGTGCCGCTGCTGGGGTTCCTGGGAAGGTCCGCCCCGCCCCGCCGAGCAGCCGAAGGACGCCTGGAAGCGCTCGTCGCGGCGGGGCAGCAGAGCCTCCGCCCCCAGAGGGAGCCGTTCTTCGCCTGTCGCCCGCTGTGCTGCAGCCTTTAGGAGCCATAAGTCACACTTTGTGTTCATGTTTAAGAAATGGGTCTGGAGACATCTGATGAAATACAGCAGTGTGTTCTTCTAAGGGAGTCAACTAGGGCTTATTGTGCTTATTGGAACGTTGTCATGTTTGGAGGAGAACCTGCAGTGCTGAATGCTTCCTTTAAAAATGGTACAGAAACCTTCAGTCATTCAGGCCATGCATCAGAAAAATAAAAATGCATTTTCTCTAATTCAGTTTCTCCAAAGGCAATATCCAGCAGGTGATCACTCTGCAGACATCACTGCAAGGAAAGCACCTGCTTTTTTGATTGGTAGCAATATATCCAGGTATGAGCTCCCAACTGACTGAATGTGGTAGAGATTTGGTGCTCCAAATGGAGCAACAGCTAAGTCCCTAGGGTGCTGATGGGATCCATCCCAGGGTACTGGAAGGGCTGGCTGATATCACTGTGAGACCGGTTTCAATTATTTTGCAACGGCCTTGGGAATCTGGAAGGGTCCCAGTTGACTGGAAGATGACAAATGTCCCATTTTCCATGAAGGGTGAGAAAGAAGATTCTGGTAGTCACAGGCCTTTTGTAATAAGATCATCCATCTTGATAGAAGATGGGATAGGAAGGCCAGTAGATGTTGTTTTTTGTTTTTGTTTTGTTTTTTTGTTTGTTTTGTTGTGGGTTTTTTTTGTTTGTTTGTTTTTTGTTTTTTTTAAATTTTAACAAAGCTATCAATATTGTTTCTCACATTGTCCTTCTGGACAAAATGTCCAGCACAGGCAGACAAGTACACAGTACGATCAGTGAGCAATTAATCGACTGAGAGGTTGAACTCAAAGAGATTTAGTAGATGGGGTTCCATCAGGCTGGCAAATAGATACTGGGCTCTGTTTTAGGGCTACTTCTTTTTACGTTTTTATAAATAATTTGGACACAAGAAATGAATGCACAGTAAGTAAACTTTCAGTGCCCTGGAACCCGATGGGCCCCCATCCTCTGGGGTGATTCAGATGCAGTACTGTCACTGGGTGAGAGCATGTATTGTCCCACTGTGCTCTGCATGGTGTGGGCTCACCTTGAGCATCGAGTGCAAGAGTGGGTGCCACAATGTAAGAAGGACATAAAACTACATCCAAAGGAGGGCTATAGAGATATGGCAGAGTCTGACATCAAGCTGAGGTCTTTGGGTTCGTTCTGCCTCATGGTGGCCTACAGCTCCTCACAGATAACTCTGCTCTCTGGTGACAGCAGCAGGGCCTGAGCGAACAGCATGGAGCTGTGTCGGGGAGGGTCATGCTGGGGGCTAGAAAAGGTTCTGCAATACAGGTCGGTGGGCATGGCACAGGCTCCCCATGGCAGTGAGCGCAGCCCAGAGCTACCGGAGCTCAAGTTGCATTTGGACACTGCTGTCAGCCATAGGATTTGGGTTTGAGGTGCTGCTGTGTGGAAGCAGGGGTTGGGCTCACTGATTCCTATGGGTCCTTTCCAACTCGGGATATTCTGTTCTGCTCTGTACATGCAGAATTGCTGTCTAGTGCATCAGACAAGTTTTGTGTAGAGCATGAGAGAACACAAACTAAATGAGATTACTTAAAAGGAAGTTTTGAGAGACTGCATTATGTCTCCAACAATTGTTTATCATAGGGTGAACAACTAATGTACAACTATTAAATCCAAAGCAGTTTGAAGATCTTCAGATGTCCCAGTTAAATATGGATGAACTTTCTTTCTAAAGTAAATTAAATTAAAATAAATTATGAAACTAAATTAAAACAAACAAACCCAAACCATAGATTTAGGATCTGCTTAGGAATGCTGATGCTCACAACTCCAAAATACAGGTCAAATACAAAGCCAAATGCACAAAGGGATTTCCCTACACCTTTTTTTTTTTCTTAAGAGCTGCTAAAAATTAAAAGTTATTTCATATGCACCTCCAGTCATTCCATAGACACAGGCTACTCTTTACTCCTTAGAGTTTGTCCTATAGGTACGGCTAAGCTACTCATAGTTTCCTCTAAAACTTTTGGCATCAGCTCCTGCTATCTGTCCTATCTCATTATACCAGGACATTAAAGACAGCTTTTCCCAAAAATACAGAATCACAGAATGGTCCAACTCCTGCTCAACCAGTGTCACTAAGAGAAGGTTGCCCACAACCATGTCCAGATGGGTTTCAAACATCTCCAAGACAGGAGACTCCACAGCCTCTCTGGGCACCTGTTCCAATGCTCCATCACCTGACAGTTAAAGGTAGTTAACTCTTATCCTAATTATAGCATTCTAGGTTAGCATTTTCAAAGTGATTCTTGAAGAACTGTAAAGAGATAACGTCCACTGCCTGAACAACCTCGGGCATTACAACAGGGCACTCTCTGAAATCCTGAATAGAAATATTACCTTGCTAAGGATGGAATTACTCAGCAGCTGCCTACATAGAGGACATGCACCATAAGCAAAGACTGAAATTTTTTTTAGTTCCCACTTCAAGTTGCTGCAATGTACTGCTCCTTAAATTATCCTTCCGTAATAGCACATATTTTAAACAATTAGCCAGCACCTTCTGGTGGGGGGGGGGGAAGAGAGGGGAAGAAAGGAAAAAAAAAAACCAAACAGATAAGATTGAGGGCTGAGTTTGTTTGTTTGTTTTTGAAAGATTGGCCAATTGCTTGGAAGAATATCACTATAAAAACATCACTGCAATGTGTCATTAGTCATATAGTCACATTTCCCAAAGTCTTCATAGAAAGTTACTGTCTACATTTCAATACATTGAATATTTGATTTAAATTTTTCCTAAATCTGCGCACAACGCAATCGGACTGTGCTATTTCATGGATGTAACAAAACGTACTGTCCGTGGAATCAGGCTGCATTTGCCATGCATGATTATTGCAATAAATTCTGTGAACTGTCATGGTCATTGGCTATTATAGCTTCCCCTCAAGCTGTTTTTAGGAAGTTTGCATGACAGAAGTCTAAATAGTATGTCTGCACGTACATAAAAGTCATAACTTTTTTTAAAAAATGTAAGAATGTAACTTTTTTTGTAACCTAAATCAAATTCTCTTCTTCACCTTCTTAATATAACTTCTTTACATAATATTTGTCATCTGACTTCTGACTTGCTAAGTGGTTTTACAGTGCCCTTTCAATGAGTATTCCATCTCAGACTCTGCTTTTCTTATTACTGAATTCAGATGTACCAGCTGAGAAAAGTTGAAGTATTTCAGAATATTATAAATACCAAACTATAAAAATGCATCAAATAAACACTTGCACTGGGCAGTCAAGTATGAATTGACTGAAATTAGCAGTAAATAATTTCAGAGTTAACATTCCATTCAGGGCAACAGAGATTTGCATCTCTTAAAAGGTTTTGAGAAAATATGTCAGTATTTTTACTGCTGCTATCTAATATTACCTAATTCTGCTGTTTATCCTACCCTCACTTCAGCTGCACATGGGAATGGTCACATCTTTCCTTCTGCTGATTAAGTTACACAAATGATAACTTCCAGCAAGAGATGTATAGCAGTGCCAGTCAACATCCTATAACTCTGTATTACAAGAACATCTATGCATAAAATCTGAAGTAAATGATGGTGGGTGCCCACAAAAATAAACACATAACTAATGATAATTGTGTTTAGTATTTATTCTACTGAAATTTCCATTTTTCAGGAAGAAAAAAAATCAAATGTAGTTCTGATAAGCAGTTCAGGCAGGCTGCGTTAATTTGGATCAAGAAGTGCTGTTTGCTACTGAAATGAGGAAACGTTAAATAGTTTCAATAGCCTTACTTTTTGCTGTGTGTTTGTCTGTCAGCATTAATTGAAATTGTTTTAGAAAATACTTTTTTCAGTCTATACAAAATTAGTGCAATTGAAATAAGTCACTTTGCCCTATACAATTATTTTGCCGGGTATTTCAGCTGAAATAGCCTATTCTCCAAGTTATTAGGAGCAAATTTTAAACAAGCAAGTTGAAGTTTAACCATACATACTGTACTATGGCACTGTAATTACTGCCATGGATTACAGCTTCAAACAAATCTGAACTATTCAAGGTCAGTGGTGTATCCCTAGATAAAACTGGATGAAGTTAGGATCGTATGTAGCAAGAATATAGCTAGAGAAAAATGGAGTTAGAGAAAAACCTGAATAATTTCCAAGTGTTAAAGCCAAAGAATATCTGAATAATTCTGTTAAACCTACAGATATTTTTAAAATCTTAATGCACTCTTTGGTGCCTGCTAAGTTTATAGCTTGTATAAATTTAATTCAGCTTTATTATAGAACAAAAGTCTTTACTAGCAAACACCCCACACACAATGGAAAGTTGGGAACAGTGCTAGGAAATTTAAAACAAAATCTAATAGCATCAGCTATCTTTCTTCAAGATTCAGCTCATCCCTGAAAAGACAAGTCTATCTCAGCAAATCAGTGATAGCATACACTTGGTTTTGGATGTATTAATTACTCCTAGAAGTTCCTTGTTATAAAGGTACTTAAGGAGTCAGCTAACATGAAAGAAGCTAAGGCTTGGCTATCAGCAGAAAACAGCTATCAGTTGTTGGCTACTCGTGTTAAATTCAAGCTTGCGTGTTAGGAGCCGTATCCTACATGTGAACAGTATTAGCTCTACTGTTGTATATGGCACAGCAAAATATTGCTCTAGAAAGGAAATACACCTCCATACCCAAATGAGTTACCTCTGGCTTGCCGTCAGACAGTTTGCAAGGCTGGTTTTTTCATTGTTCTGCTGGATAAGCTTTTGCAGCGCAATACTGAAAAGCTAATCTGTTCAGAACTAAACAAGCTAGGCTGGCAAAAAGAGAGAAACTTCAAGAATACTTCATCTCTAAAACTTTCTGATTCCTAGTAGATACACATGTATAAAGCTGCAACTTTTTGTAGCTCCTTTTCCTGAAGTCCACTACTAATATCTAAATGTAGACACCAACACCACAGAGGTTTGCTCTAGAAGCATTTTAATTTACAAACAGCAATTCCCATTGACTTTATACCATAAAAAAAAGCAATTTACAAGCAAGAAACAAATTCATCAGAACAAAATAAAGCAGCACTGAAATATTCATGTCACAAATCTAAAACCAAAGTGAATACAAGAGTAAAATATCATTTGAATAAATATTTTAAAATTCATGCTATAAAATAATTCTTAACGGCAAGTTATTGTTACAGCATCAGCTTAGCTAGCTTCATTTACTTCATGTGGTGATGAAGTGTGCAGTTGTGAGGTTACCAGTTTATATTGCAAGATCATGACACCCAGTCAAGTCATTCAAACTGTTCAAATATTAATCATGAAAAACAACCATACAAATAAAAGTTATTTAAAAATACAAATTTTTAGTTAGAAACACTGTTAAAATCGTGCAAGAGTTCTACCTCTAATAAGATATACAACCAGAGGCTCGCAATACAAGTCCAAAGGCTGAATTCATAGCATATGTAAATTGGAGAGACAGCAGTGCATCTTATCTACCATAGTAGGAATTACTTATGTAAACTAGAAGCAAACCTGCTCAGTTACTGATAATTAGCCTCACATCCCCTGAAGAAATAAATACAGGAACATATTCCAGGTTTCTTTTGCTTTTTTTTTTTTTTCTTTTTCTTTTCTTTTTAAATGTAAACTTACACAACTAAATTCATGCTGTCACAGGGATGTGCAAATATACTTAAACTACAATATTTAATACAACTACTCTGGCACTTGTTAAAAGATATGTGAAATGCACACAGTTTAAACTTTGAACATTTTGAATGACTTTACTAAATTTCAGATTCAATCACTGAGTATTATGAGGTTTACAATTAATGAACTAAACAGATTCATATAAAGAATTTACACAATTACGCAAATACTTTCAAATATAAAATTTAATAAATAACCCTGACCAGTCAAAAAGCACCATTCAAGGGTAAAATTCCCTTGGAAAATAGATTAGGTGTTGCATATTTGAGTCCCTTTCAATAGTTTCATTTGAAACCTGTTTAGAAAAATGACAATAAAAGAATCACAGTAAACTAATACAAAAATTCAAATAATATATTTTTAAAGGTAAAGCTCATTCAATCATTTCCCAGCCCTTGATTTTATTCCTGCTGTTCTTCCCAAAATTCAAACTTAATATATAAGAGGCCTCATTGTTTTGTCTAAAAGTAAACCAAAGACTTCAGCATAAAACATCAATTTATACTTGGGAAGACTGCATTAAAAACTATCACTTTACGCCTACAGTATATTCTGCTGAACAGTGAATCAACAGTATCTTTTATGCTACTGAAAGATTTCACACTAAAAAGAGCAGAGCCAATCTTGGAGACTTATTGACCATACTGAACTGCTAATATACTGTATTCACAAAGCTATTTTCTAAACGTATTTACAAGTTTGAAAATAATACAGAAGATAACCGATTAAACTAAAATAACTGTTTAAAACCACAAACATTAGCAAAGATATAAAATCCTTTATTTTCACAGTTTGTCATAGTTGTTTAAACATATAGAGGAAAGGACACTGCCGCTGTTTTCACATTTGTCTATTATTAAAAAGGTAGATTAAGAAGAGACTCAATTATGAACCAGCCTACATAATTTCATGATTTATTTTGCTGTCAAATACTTGTTCACAGACTTTGACTTCTGCATTTATTGTAAATGAAATGTAACAGTTCCGTGCTAACTTAAAACTGTACAGAAATGAGACACTGTACAGTACTTCCATCATCTGCTTAAAATAACACAGCATACTCTTTTTTGGCGGACTAGTGAAATTAACTTCAATTAGACAATGCTTCATGTTTCATGACAATGTTAATCCTGGCATACCATTATGTGACAAGGCACAATTTATTTGCTGTTGCCAGGTTTGAAGTTTGTTTTCTACCAGAGTCACACACTTTGCAAGTGTAAATGTAATGCTAAATGATATTTTATACTTGCCTATGTATGCGTCTTTTGAAGCACTGTTGAAATTTACAGTACTGTGTTATGGCTTGGTAATTCTTAACACTGCTAGCAGTGGAAAAAGTAAATGGCGTATCAACATGAATAAGAGCAAGTAAAACTTGCAAATTGCTGAATCATGATTTTGTAGAAAGAGAGAGATCACTTCCTGCTTCTTAACAGTCTTGTTACAATGTTTTGAACCTGAACCTGTACAATCAAAGTGATTATGTATTTATGCTTTTTTTGTTTGTTTGCTTTTGTCAGAGACAATTTTGGATAAGTCACTCTTTGGTAAACTCAAACCAGTTCAATAAATTTACAAATACAAAGAACTAGATCTAAATAGTGTTAAGATTGTGACACAGAGAAATTCAAGAAATATAAAATCAGTACCCCATATCCTGCTATCCTCAACTCATACTTCCATGGAAAAAGTCACACCAAAGGCACCACAGCACAGATCCAAGATAAGGGTTAAGAATAACTGTACATTTCTTAAATTTTGCATGTCTCAAGCTTAATTTATCAGGTTGTTGGAGTTTTTTTTTGTTGGCTTTTTTGTTTGTTTGTTTTGTTTTTTGTTTTTTTTTTGTTTTTTTTTCATTTAATTACTTAAGCATGTAAGAAAAAAAACAGTATCAGAAACACGAACATGTTTTAAAGGGGGTAAACATACAGACTACCTCCCCTCCCCTAGACTCAGACATACAATTTCCCTTACTGGAAACATTAGTTCTGTTGGTGATTCAGGGAGAGAAACAATGCCCCATCTCCCTGTACCTCTTTTTTTTAGGCAGTTTCAGGACAAACAGGCAAATTAGGTACTGCATTTAATTAAAACTGCCCCCAAGGAGCCAGTGGATTTATACTGAAAATAGGTATTTAACAGAATTCTTATTGCAGACTGTCACAATATTAAGAACTAGTGTATTCAATAAAGCTACTGCACAAAAAATGCCCCAACTTCAGAGGAGCCCAAAAAGCATCACAAGATAGCAAACCTACCTCTTTGCTTTTCTCTAACTTATGAATGAGCCTTTATCTTCTAAATTTCAGGACTCAGACAACAGATAGACATAATTCAGAGCTATCTTTTCATTATTTGCTAAACAATAAGGCCCAACCATATAAAACATGTATTTTAAAGAAGTATATGATTCATTTCATTTGCTTATAAGGTAGAATCTACATAGTAGTGTTTGCCAGCTCATGCTTTTGAGGTCTCTTAAGCACTATTGTGTGATTTTCATTTTTTTTTAATTTTCCTTAATTGTTACCATTACATTTCACATTTTAATATATCATACTGACCTAAACAACAAAGTTAGCACCATATTAAAAGAAAACAAATAACACAAGAAAAACATTTGGTGAAACAAAGAGTATTTTAAAAGTTGTTGGTAATTCATTTATGCAGCAAACAGCCACTGAAGATATGAGGGAAGCCACAGCAACTCTGTAATACTTGCATGTGAAATAACAGACATATTGCTTGAAGTTCCCATAGCGTATTTGTTTGTTGTTTTATTTTTTTAATACAAAAAAGTACAAATTCCAAGTGCTGACATGTCACTTGGAGCTGTAAGTAGGAAGTCATTGTGCACCTGAAAACAGTTCTCTATGAAGAGACCTATTAAATACTGCTTGGAAATACTATAGTTTAAACTACAAAATATCTCTCAGGTTAGCATTAACCAACCAAGAAGAGCGATGAAGTTAAATTTAATTACCTGGTATGCTTTTACAGTACGAAATGAAGGTAGATTCTGAGGCCAGTAAAAACCACAATGCTACTTTTGGGTTTGCTATTAGTTTTCTTTTTTTCTTTTTCTTTTTTTTTTTTAAATATATATATATATATATATATATATATAGATATATATCTATCTCTATATATATAAAAAGGTCAGCACCACAGGTTGTCCAGTTTATGTTCTAGACAACTAACAAAACCCCTTAACAATTTAACCATAATTTAATAGATTTATGGCATTTGGTTTACAAATGTTATAGAGCAAAGCTATTAAAACAAGGTAATACACTTTGCTCTCATTTGCACACAAAGTAATAGTTTAATAAAAGGAAAACCAAACATTCTTCTAAAACCAAAAAGATTCTCCCAAAGTCCAAAGTTCTAAATCCTAGACAGAGGAGATCTAGCAGTTGGAAGGATGGTACATGGTATAAACCTTCACATATTTTTACATTCACTTCAACCAGAATAGGAAAAGTGAAAGCATTTTATATATATAAAGCAAATTTATATATATAAACAGACTATCAAAAACAGTTAGGAAGAAAAAAAACAATTCAATGGTACAAATGAAGGAATCAAATATGTAATATTCTCTTTTCCCAATGCTACGTAACCCTCACTATCAGCAATAGGATTTATGAAATTAAGTAAAATAAAATAAAATAAAGACTACAGTTTCTTTGTGTATCCAGCAGAGAGGTAAATCATATTCTAATATCTTTCTCCACTGGAATTTGTGTCTTACCAGATCAACCAGTAGGGACACTTTATCAGACTCTTCCCATCTGTTCCCTAGCACAGTCTTTTATATTTCAGCATTTTCAAAAGTGGAAAAAAACCCCACCAACCCAGCCTCCTACAGAAACAAAGAATATTTATGTAGTCTTTTCCAGAAACTATTTCAAAAAAAGTTCCAGAAGATCAGGAAAATTAAAAGGCTCTTATACTTGTAATGAAGACTACCAAAAGAATAAGATTTTTTAAAATATATCATTAATGTGCTTGTTTGTTTTGCACTTTACAGTGTAATATTTTAATCTGACGTGTTAGACATTGCATGAACTTCCATACTAGAATCCATGGCTTCAGAAGCTGAAGCATCATTATCTACTTTCTGTTCCACAAATGCTTCTGTTCTGTCTGGAGACTCCATCCTGTTTCTTACTTCTGTTACCCCAGGGTGATTTTTTCGCAAATGCTGGTTTAGTGTACCCTGGAAAGGAAAACATTTGCCACAGATCTCACAGCGAAAGGGCTTATCATCTGTGTGACCGCGAATATGATACTCAAGTTGGTCCTTGCGGGTATATTTCTTCCCACAGAATTTGCACACAAAAGGAGTTATTCCCATGTGCAATCGCATGTGTCGATCAAGGCTCCCTTTCTGGTTGAAAGACTTCCCACAGTAAATACAAATCAGCCTCTCATTGTATGGATACCAGTGACTTCTTGCATTTCTTTCCCGTGGATTATTTTCATATCCTGTATTACTCACCATGGAATCACCATCAGTCCCTTGCACCAAGCCTTGAACATCACTATGTAAATGACCAGTGGATATCCGTTTTTGGCGTGCACGACCCCCTCTGAAACAGCTCAGCATTGACCTTGAAGGACTTGAATTGCTAAGGTTTCCAAAAGTTTCAGACACACCAGTAGCCTGTGATGAGGCATGGGTAAATGAATAAACATGTTGTAGAACAGACCCATAGGAGCCAACATTCACTGCTACTACTTGCTCTCCATCCACCATTTCAGTATGATATCCATCATCACCAAGGGAAGAGCTATCAGAACAGCTTGGCCTGTCAGACTTTTCCATTTTAACTTTCACCTCTGCAATCTGACTTTCTCTTACTATCAAGTCTCCTTGCTCATGATCACCCTCAATTTGAACCTCGTATTCAGAGATACTCCCACTGCTTCCTCGATCTGAATGCCCTTCTTCTTGCAGTCGACTACGTAGACTTTTGCCTGGAGTAGTTTCCATCCTAAGATCACTGCTTGCTGTTGACTGTCGCACCTGAGAGCAATAGGGGGGAGATATCTCAATAGGGTTGGCAAAGTAGCTGCTGTCCTTAACTCCATTGCGATTTTCTGAATTTTCTTCAGCACCAACAGTAACAGAGTCAACATCACCAACACTGATCTTTGAATGAATACTCTCCAGTATTTGCGTGCATTTATCAATGACACACTGCATCTGTAGAAAGCTAGCTGCAGTTAGAAAACTAACAACATCCTTCAGTTGTAAGGACATCCTTCCAGTGTAACAGAATGAAAGCAACTGTTCAAAAACATTGGGATTTTTAATAACTGATATTGATAAGCCACTCATGGTGCTTAACGCTGAATGGTCACGGAAATATGGCGAACTGGCCGCTAAGACAGCTTTATGGGCTCGAAATGGCTGACCCTGAATATGCACAATTATGTCACACAGCTTTCCTTGCAAGCGGAGTTCATTTAACTGGCTCAGAACAGTGTTGCTGTACTCAGGCACATCAAACTGAATGAAACTGCTGCTGTCCATTTCTACTGATGTAAAGAGGAATCTGAAAGAAAAACAAGAACATTTACAACTGAGAATGAATACAGAGTTTTCTATTTCAAAAATAAACACTTCTGCATGTTGAAGTTAAATTACCACTTTGATCTGTTCAAGGTGTGTTACAACAAAACTGTCAGTATTAAAATTTGATGTAATATGAGAAGTAGAGTCTCAATCTACCAATTTCTTGCAATGCTTTCAATCAAATTATCCCTACGTAGGATATAAATAGAACACAACTGTTTATAACACATAACAGGGTCCATTGGACAGCATATATCAAAGCTAAAAGGAACTTTATAATTTCACTCCCTGGTAAAGACTACAGAATAATCATCCCACGCTCTCAAAAGAATATTAAAGTCACCAGGCAGGTCAAAAACATCACAGTATTCACTCTGTCTTGAAGCAGGAGACTACACTGCTACTTGCAGGGAACTGTACATCTAAGTTGTCCAGAAATTATTTTTGGAAGGTATTTCATGCAATTTTGAAAACCTACTAAGGAAAAGTAACAAAACCACACACACAGATATTTTTAAAATCTATATTCCTTAAGTCTAGACATGTAGCGTATTCAGCTCTGCAATAAATTTCTCATCAGTTGCATTTCTGTCTAGAAGAACCATCTACCTCCTTATAAAGTAATCTCAATAATTATTAAGTAAATCCGTCATTCAATATTTACATCCCAAACAAAGAAATCCTAACTGAAGGAAACAGTTAAGTGTGGACTCAATTCTAAACTGTTTACTCACTGTGTCAGGTTTCCTGATAAAAAATGAGTCAATATGCAAAGTGCAATTTGAAGGAAAAGCGTGGGAATCACCAGTGAACATTTGATTTTTTTAAGATTCTTTTTGTGATTTTCATTTATTCCTCCTTTCCTCTCACTTTAATTAAACCACGATCAGGGCTCTGAAGCTTATCTAACACAGCAATCACTTCCTAGCTAGGACAGTTTACCATGTAAAGTCTCACACATATTTAATCCTATTAGTACTCATTTTTCTGATGCAACAGGAAAGGGTGTTCCGAGAGGTTTTAAATAAATGTATAAGTTTCAGAATAAAATCTAAAGAAAGACACTCTATAATATAGATATATAATATAATTAAGTACCCAAGAATCTTCAGACTTCCAGTGTTATTCTTGTTCCTACTAACACAGAAGTATAAACACACAATATAGCCACTGTATCTGCTCTTTCAATTGGACCAACATCCAATCTGATTTCAATGTCACTCACTGACTCCTGATGCAGGAAGCATGCTCAGTGTATCACAACATACTAGTAGATTTTTTTTCCTATTTATGTCTTATGTTACATGCTGCAATAATGCACATGAACAACTTGAATTATGAAAATTCACGCACTCTAAAAAGAAAAATCAATAGGAATATTATAAAAAGCTTACAAGTAAGAACTGGAGCTGTATCATCTGTCACTAAAACTAAGGTTTGCTGTCTTTACAAATAGACGAGAAACAAGATAACCACCTTCATGACCTGATGAGCATTATTGAGAAAACTTCAGTAAACTGTGCTTCATTGGAGTTTCAGTAACTGATATTTAAAACCAGGACAAGAGATGTTTTACACAATTTTACATTTGATAGAAATAAGGATTAGGTTTTCAGAAATTACATGATCCCAGCCATCCATGCAAAGACAGCTTTGGCAGGACAATTCTTTCAGTCACTGAATCACTTTCACAGATTCTGTGCTTAAGAGTAAGCCAGACAGACCAGAAATCAAACATGAAAACAAACATAAAACACAAGTGAATGGTTAAACAGGAAGATAAACCTAGGCATTCTAAGCATCCCTCCATGTTTTGCAGAGAATCACCATTCAAGTCTCTAGTTTGTCCACGCCATGGGAGAGATTGAATTTTCAGGAGTTAGGATGCATGCCTGTCAACACCACTCTCATTTGGCCAGGCATCAGGCTTGCTTACTAACCAAACATTGGTTACTATCTTTATTTATGGGGCTTATGTACTATAAACAAATGCAACATTCCTGACTGAACACTTCTTAGCTAAACTGAAGGGTTTTGATGACCTGAAGTGACATGGGTAGATGTGTTACCTGGATTGAGGACTATGTATAAACCCTAAGACCAGTCTCCACCAACAACACTTCATAATTCTGCATCTTTGCAGATCCTTCATCTCAAGAACCTGGTCAAGCTTTACTTTAATTCTATTAGAAGTTACTCATTATTCATGTAGACTGTGCAGAAATTGTTTGTCATATTTAGCCAGCGGCATTTCTCCTTATCTCATACTTCCTTAAGGACTCTTTGGTAAAACTGGAAAAAGCTTGGTTGAGAAAGACATTAAAATACAGTCACGACAAACACCAGTCTGGACAGCTTCCATCTCTGACTATTGGACAGTTTAACACTAGATAAAGTATTGTAAAAATTCAGTCAAACTCTGGGCCCTGCCTGCATCTTTTGTTAACTTGCATAAACGGATCAAACTGTTTAACATTTTCATAGGCACATATACAACAAATTATCTGAAGGCTTTCATATTTCATCAGTGTGCAACTCAGATTTGCACACTGAGTTGACGAAGTTTCAGCAGTGCTACGTTAAATTCTCTGCTTATTTCTTTGAGAGATCATCCAGTCACACACAAAAGAATATAAATCTCTTTGCATCAGCATTATATTTATTCATTGGAGTTTTATACAGTGAACATAAGTCATAGTATGAATTGCTAGCAGTGGATCGCTGCCCTATGTCTTAAGTGTTCATCGAAGTAATCTGTGAACATGAGAACGATATGCAATAAACATTTCTCATTAGATTTCAAAAACACAACTTACTTTTAGAACTATGTTCTATAGCTCTAATTACGCTTTTAAAAAGCCAACAAGAATAGATAGTGACAAAACACAGTTGGTATTTCATTTTACTGACATCATACAGTAACACCAGTGAAGCATCCTGTAACAACATGAAGCTGTGCATTTGCCAGTATGGTATTAATTTCTGCTTCTAAGTCTGCACCTGTTTAACGTCATTCATGCTCTGATATATAATTTGCTGTTCTCTTTGAGAGGTGAATGATTCAAATTATCCTTCCTTATATTTTGTAGTATTCAGTATCTACTACACTATCTGTGAGAGCTTAAGACATTATTGCAGAAACACATTATCATTCAAAAGTATTTTTAATCCATGAATTTTACTGTATCAGCTATGATCATGGAGATACCCCTTTGCCTCCACTGCCAACCCTTAAATGAGGTCTGGGCAGGGGTGGATCCAGGCTCCATCCCTTCCAGTCACTCAGGTACATTGCACACACCTGAGCTCCTCTGGGCTGGCCCTGCCTTCCTACCAGGTGCTCAGTGTTTCAGGACATGACTTAGCATTTCTGCTACAGTCTCACAAAAATAAATGGCTATGAAAGCAAATAGTTCTCTCTTCCTTTTTAAAAAATTATTTATTAAAAAAAAAATAGATTTTAAATTCTCTTTCCTCCCAATCTTGTCTATTCACAAATTCACAAATCAACCTATACATTTAAGTCACAGAACGTTTCAAGTTTTAGGAAGTTCTGAACTAAGCTAGAAGTACCCACTGAGAGTAAAAGAAATATTACCATTTTTGTCAAAACTTGAATTAGTGAATTTTAATAAATTATCTGTACTAAAGAGACTGCAGTAACACATACTTTACTATTAATCTCAAAAGAGCTTTGAAAATAAGTGCTTCACCGATTGTATATTTTGGTCCAAACTATCTGTTACAATAGTGGAGACTACACCGCAAATTTAAAATTTCATTACATTACCTCACAAAATGCAAGATAACCCATATTTCCTCAGAAACTAAAGCTAGTCAATACAAGCCAAAGTGCAGTTACTAGCAAATCCAGTTCTTGAATACTTTTCATGGGCAGTCATCAAAATGCTGCAGTGAAAATTAATATAATTATTCTCTTTCTGTGGATAGATATGCAACACCTTATTCAAAATACAAAACATGCATAATACAAAACAAAGGAAAACTCATGTCTGTAAGGCAAGCTCTGCTATCCTAAAGTGTCACAGAATACTATCCCATCATTTTCATGGATGAGCAATACCTTAACCCTCTATACTTTTTGTAGAAAATTCTTAACAAATACTGACATTTATTCAACAGGAATCGAAAATGATTTATTTTTCACCTGACTACAGCAGGACAAGTATCCTTACAGGCACAGCAACAAGTGTGCATACAGAACATAGACAACATCATATTTGCCATCCTGAGAAAACACTTGAAGGAGTAGGTAACTTTAATATTAACATTAAAACCACTTCAGTTGTATACATGTACATATACATACACAAGTGCTCACGCAGTAAACAACGCTATTCTCAGCTCTCGGTATGGAGCATCAAAGCAATTATTAGAATTGCCCATTTAAGCGCTTGCATTAAAAAAAAACAAAAAAACAAAAAAACAAACAGGAAACCTCTTATTTGAGCAAATAACCAAAGACAGCAGTTATGAGACTGCTGGTCTGAGGGCCACTTTCCCCCCTTATTCTCAAATTTACTCCTCACAATTGCTTGCCTGTGTGGAAGTGATCAAAACATTTAATGTGAAACAACTACTGATGCTTGAATAAAGGTTTGCTTAATTATTAGAAAACTAAATACAAATAGTCTCTAAAGATTGGTTTTACAAATCTATTACTATAGGAGCAATTACAAATTTGTATCTAGTCCTAAAAATAGGGAAAAAATACCAGAAGGCAAACTAGAAGTAAAAATCAGTAAAAGTATTGTCAGATAAGTAAAATAAAGGCACACTCAGGATAACATGCCTCAAATTTGTAAGAACTTAAAAGTAAGAATCAGAAACTTTTCTTCTGTGCACCAACTTCCTAATATGGAAGCATCAGAATACCGTTTATTTAATCCTGAACAGTTACATCCCACACTTCCTATTATTTCCTAAATGTCTGACAACTGAGGTACATCTTGAGAAGTTATTATTAAAATCAAATGAACAACTGTTTGCGTGATCAGATGTGCAATATATCCACACTCAGACCTTTATGAAATGCATGAAGACCGAGCTTTTATATATTATAACGAAAAATCATTAATTATCACAGACATAATTGGTTAGCATTGTGTGTATATACTGTGCATATATCTACACCACTTTTTTTCCTCCTCTCCCTCCTCACGTCTGGAATTTCCCATATCCACGTTTATGAGGCAGTTCCAATTTATTCCAGGTTCACCTTAAACTCTGCTTTATTTTGAAATGAACCTAATTGTGCATGCTGTGCGCCTCAGAGCTTCTGCAGGGCACTCATAACTGCACAGACCGAGTCCTAACAAGAACTTCCAACTCCTCAAGCGGAGCAGCGGCAGTCGAAAGGCGTACCAACTTCTGGCAGCAGCTCCTCAGCCGGTGCCGGTCCAGGAGCACCGCAGCCAGCCGAGCCCGGGGCGCCCGTTATGCCGTGCCCCGTTCAGACTAAGAAAACGCCCGGGCGCACTCGCATTCGTCCTCTCTAATTGCAAATCGGAACCACGTAAGCCACAGACCCAGGTTACGCGGCGACAGCTTCCCTGTGAGATGCAGCTGAGAGGAGAACGAACTCGGCGGAGCCGGGGTCGGTCGCGGCAGCGCAGCCGCCGCCCGCACGGCCCAGCGCGGGGCAGCGGCAGCGACAGCGGCGGCCGCACGACGGCACGACCTGGAGCTCCGCGCGGCTGTCCCGCGGAGGCCGCCGCCCCTACGGGGCCTGTCAGGGGCCGGAACCCCCCGCCCCGAGAGCGGCCTCCGCCCCCACGGGAGAACCGCCGCAGCCCCGGGGCCCGGCCCGCCCGCCGCTCACCTGGGGCTGTCAGGGTGTCTCACATGGCGGGTCCCCGGCCCCTCTCCTGCCCGCTCCCACCGTCGCTTCCCGCCCGCTCCCACAGCTCCTCGCACCCGGAAATAATTTCGCTGGCGGCGCTTCCGCTTCCTGGTGACGCGCGCCAGCCCCGCCCCGCCCCGCCCCAGAGCGGGCAGAGCGCGGCTGGCGGAGTGTGGGCGGCGCGCAGCTCCCCGCGGAGTAGAGCTGCCAGAGGGAGCAGAGCCGTGCCCGAAGCCTCTGGGTAACACGAGCACGTACGGTCCTAAAATTCTCAGTCTTTGGCTTTAGAACACGCATTCAAAAATTAACAGCGGCGAGGAATTTGGAAAAAAGAAAACAAAAACTACGAACGGCTTAGCATCACACCAAAAATACTTATTTTTGGAAATATATGATCGGATGCATTTTGGAGCTTTTTAGAAAATAAAAAACCAACCAAAACCCCAAAAAACAACCACCCTGGCTGCCAGGTGCGATGTCGATGAAAAATCCATTTCCAGCGCACGGAGAGGCAGCAAGCAAATCTTTGGGAGAGGTCGGCAGGGGGCTCCTCTGCACCCCGGCTGAGGGTGAACCGCCTCTATTGAGCATCATAAATTAGGAGGTCATCTGCGGTACACTGTCCTTTTCCCTTACACCCCTGCACATTCTCATAGCACGCATAGGGAGGGCAACAGTTCACTGTTAAACTCACAGCTTGCTGTAACATTGCATGGAGGACAACTACTGCTATGATAATCACCTTCTGCAACTCAGACATCACAATTTATCTTCTGAAGGCATGTCTTTCTCTCCCTGTAAAGCATATGGAAGATGATCTTCAGAAATCAGGTGCTTCACAGTATCGTGGCAAAGTTGCTTGAGTAAGCTGACCAGGGCATAAACAGCAAACTTAAATAAGACACTTATTACTGAAAATCAAATGGCTAATGCTGAACAGGCAGAATACTCTTTCGTGTATACAGAAAGTGTAACTAACAGCAATAGTGAGTAAATTTCCTTGTGTAATATTCTGTTCAAAATTGCTGAATAAAGAGGACTGTGGTGTACAAATACTGACCTATCAAAAAAATCAGTTCAATATGCATTAAATGAAAGTAAGGTGATTTATTGTTTAGATAGCAAGCATTGACATGCTGAGTAAGATGCATCAGCTATGATAGCTCCATAAAGAATGAACCAAAAGAGGTTGGACAATACAAATTGTTTGGTAAAAGTGTTTAAATTTAGATAGAAGAGAAATCCTCAGAGGAACATAAGCTTAATCTTTAATACATTTACACAGCAAGAAATTTCTTTCATACTTTAACAAGAAAAATTAGATTATCTGATTAGCTGATAATCTGTATTATCTGTATCTACTTCTAACAAACCTGTGGGCATTCTGAATGTGTGCTTGCTGCTACTGCTAAGTCAGTGTGTTGGAGTTTTCATAAGTTTGTACTTATTATAATTTAGACTCACGTGACAATTATCTAAGCTGCAAATAAATTTCTGGAATCAATTCCAGAAATTTAACAACTACCTTTATTTTATAAATCAGTTTTTAAAATCAGTTTTTTTGTTTAGTGTTTTCTTAGGCTAGGGTGGCATGCTCAGTATTTCAAGAAAACACACTACAACTTTTTCTTTATATATTTAATAAAGTTATATATGAACAAATTTTGGATTTGAAGTATTGTTTGAGTACTTAATTTGGTGAAAGTGAAATGTTAAGTACTAGCACTAGACATGCATTCCTTTCATTCAGGCTTAAGAAAACATTACAAAGTTGACAGATAACATTTATTAAAACATGTTATACAAAAAGGGGGCATGAGACTCTTCTATAAGAAGAAAATATTGAACAGTAACATTAAATTAAAACCATGCTGTACAATTAAGACAGCAATATTTATAGACAAATCTATCCAACCTCTGCAGTACAAGCGTAACATCTCACAAAATATCAAGATATGCAGTTTTACTATTATAAATGACTTTTTAGAATAAAAACATATAGCTCATTAAGGAAGATTCACTTGACTTGCATAAGCGCTTATATTTCTGGAAGAAATATGGAATCCCATGAAGAACAAAATAAAACAACAACAACAAAAAAAAAGCAGCAATCGACAGACACAGGCTTCAAGCAAAATTAAAACTTACAATTTAATCACATTAAAAATATGCCATTTTGTTTTCCAGCATCTTCCCCTAGGGCACTGTCAGCTTACAGCTTATAGCTGAAGAGCTCTAGCTATCCAATTAAGCATTTAAATGATAAAAAATAAAAGCAACTTTCATCTGTTTTGAGAAATGTTCTAATTCTATTAAAGCAAAATACTCAGCATATGGGCTCTCAGAATTCAGAGAAAGGTCACCTCAGCTTTCAGCACAAAAGGGCTGAAATTAAAAGAAGCAACTTCATTCTTTCAGACTCAACAGCACAGGGACTTCTGTGTTATGAGCCTTTGATCACCCTCCCTTGCTTTTGATCCAGGACAAAGTTTCTTAAACACAAACATCTCAGATGAATAAAAGGTAAAACCAAAAATGTAATGGACAGTACCTTCTAGAGTCTACCTGCTCAGCCATTAAATGAAGATAGTTGCTGCATGCAACTTTGAAGGTGAACTTAAAAAACAGTAACGAATCTACAACAGTGGTGTGTGAAATATTAACCTTCTGCCTCAAAAGGGTCAGATATACATACATCTAAAGGACATCCTAACCCTGCTGAGAGTTTTTGTACTTTTTTTTTTTGGAATGTCAGTTACATAGATTACATGGTAATTAACAGCTTAGTACTAGAATGGAATGCAAATGAACATAGCTGTCATAGCAGAAGATGATGTTCTTCCACTGACAGGACAATGAATGGCTTCACAATAATAGAAAATTTTGATAGCCTCCTATGTGTACAGTAATCCTGGTTTTCAGAAGATATTCACCTTACTTCTGTCAACAACAGAAGTAAGCAATATAAAAATACACAGAAGTTTCAAGATTGTATCATTAAAGTAATGAAGCTTATGGGGAGATGAATGAAATTTACCAAATATGCATTTGGATACATATTGATCACTTCCCTCCTGCTCACAGATGGGGAAAAAAAAAAAAATAATCTCTTGAACAAATTCACTGCCCTAGCAGTGACTAACAACTCAGGAGAAGCTGCATTTGCATTTCTCTCTTTACTGTGTACAGCTGTCCTGGGTATGAACTGCTGGGTTTCAGTGGGCTGCAAAGGTGGCACACATGGCAGTAGTCACAAACTGCCCTTTGCCTGTCAAAACAGTTTCTAGCTAGCACTGAAACTGATATAAACATTACGTGCCAAATCTTGAACCAGCACAGCACCTCTGCTGAAATACACTTAAGAACAAGCAGTAAATGCTAGCAAGAGGTGCAAGGAATTAAAAAAGGAGATACTCTTAAGGAAACAAAGCTAGAAACACATGAGAAGAAACTGAAGAGATGCTCATAGGAAGATGTGCAAAGGAGATACTGAGGACAAGTGTGAAGATCCACCCTCAGAAGGTAATATGGTGCTCGAGGAGAAACTGCTAGAGGAGAAGTTCCATGGGACTTCAACCAATGGATAAGCTGTGCTAGAGCAGGTACACCTCTGAAATAACTGAGCCCCAGGGGTGACCCAACCAAGAACAAGCACACCCCAGGAACGACTACAATCCATGGATAAACCACACCAAGGGGTAGTGACACTGACAAGCCTGGCACAGGAGGGGTGACCCACTAAGAAGCAAGGATATATATGACCCCAACCTCTTATGCAAACTTTCACCTCACCAAGAGAATTGAAACAAAGTGATTTAGAGGAACTCCCAGTGAAAACAAACAGAAATGAGATTAGGAAGCCAGAGAGGAAGAGAGGCGTCAGTTAAGGTGAGCTAAGGAAGGGAAAGTGTTTAATTTTTTGTTTTCTTTTCTTAATACCTCCATCAGTATTTAGAAGTCTGTTGAAGCACAATAAGTTAAGCTCTGTGAAAGCATTCCAAGTCGGCTTTTTGCCTGTGGTAGACAAGAGTAACATTTTTACAAAAGTACCTCAAGCTTCACTTAAACACTCAACCCTCTCAATTAACTCTTGTAATAACCTTATCAATATTTTCCTTCAATCAGATGGTTTCATGTAAATTAACATCAGAAAGTCAAATGTTAAAAAAAAAAAAAAAAAAAATCAGTGCAGCAACATTTGCTGGAGTTCCAGATCATGTCATATTACGGAGTAAAACAGTAACAAGCAAATACTTAAAAGATACTATTCATGCTGAATCACTAAAGGATATGGTTCTATAATATGATCTACTGGACCTGTTATAAAAACATTTAAAGTGTCTCTCTCAGTACATTTTAAAGCTTTATTTTAAAGTAATCTAACTGCAAATAGGAGCAATTTTCAACTTCAAAACATCCCATATAAAAGTCATTCCAAACTGGTAAAAAGAAACAGTTTTGCTGGCAGCTCTGTAAGGTGGTCTGGATTTAATGGTTATAATTTGCTTGACCATGGTTCTCAGCCTGGTGCTTCTCACCAGCCTTCTATTGGTTAAATGGGAAGTGACATCCTTCATCTTTTTATGCAGCACTGAAGTGACAATTTGAAAGGGTTTGAGAACCAATGCAATATACAAGATCATTCTTCAAATGAGTATGAATATAACTTCCTCACAAGTGTGATGATGGTACTTGCAGAAGTGATGCCCTGTATGCAGAGTAAGGCCTTGAAGAATGGAAAAAATCGGGCCAGTGACTGCAAGAACCCTTTCCTCTATACTTACGTAAACAGGCAAGCATCATAATTTTCTTAGTATTAAAAAAGACAGTGTTAGCAGTGTGGAAATAAACCATAAAGGGAATGTCATTTCTAAGTTTAAAAACATAATTATATATATATTTTTTATACTTTTTAAATACAAAGTGCTTCTATATGTTAAGCAGGTTACAGTGTTAATGAGCAAATCCCTGTTTAGTTACCTTGATTACAAGGGTTATACATATGGCCACCATGGTATATTAGAGTTCAATTAAGTGCTAAGAATAGGAACTCCTTGATGCTGACCATTCATGCCCATTGCCAGCAATGGATTCATGATATTTGGGAGTATCTGTTTTAAGAACATTCTGTGTGAAAAAATATCTGAATCATTAGAAGATTTAGAGCCTCTTAAAAAACTGAAGTTTGTAAGTAGAATGCCAGAAAAGAAGTGACAGCAATTACAACCCACCAAGTAATAAATCCTAGCTTGTACAAGACACTGATGTTCAGAATACAGTTTGGTTGCATCTCAAGACAAGTTGTAACTAGGAGTTTAAAAAAGAATCCAAATTGGCATTACCTTCACACGATTTTGCTTCATCATACAGGGTCATCTGTTTAAGTATGTTATTCTGCACATTCCACATTTGATGCATTAACTGGAGCCAGACAGGTTTAGAAGGCTTTTGATACTTATTAACTTTTTTCCTCACATTACAAACACTGTGCTTGGATATCACTTCTTTCTATTCTAGGCATACTCTAAAGACTCTTTTTATATTTTAGTGAAGTACAGAGAAGGGTTATTGCTTTGCATAGGAATGCACTATGCTTTCAACCCCAAAATCCTGTTGCCACCTTTGTAAGTGATGCACTCACTCTATCTGCAGAGCTGGCAGCATCTCTCAAAACTACAAACATTCCTCCATCTAGCTCCGAGAATGAGATCCTCATCCTAATGAAAAAGTGTCACTTTCCCTGTGAAAATCCAGACCTTGGACATGGGCATGGTACCATCTTCTGCAGCACCATTACTAGATCCAAACATCATATTTCTACATCTTCCCCTTTCCCCCCACAAGCAACTTCACTTGAAGAGGTAAACAGATCTGGCTACTTAGGATCATATGTAACCAGTCACAGTAGTTCAGTACCAAGAATCTGTATCATAGTTCTTACTTCTTACTATTCGAAGAGTAAAGAACTAAGAATTATCAATGCCTAAATCATTTCCCTAAAGCATGTTTCTAAAACTAGATAAAAGTTCTCAAACAAGATTTTGTACCAATAAACGTCAAGTCAGTTTATGAAACTACAGAGTTTGGTACTTGCTACTGTAGTAAGTCACAAAAAATGTGAATATCCAGTTAGATCTTAGAATTTTTAGTATTTTGGGTAAGTTCCAAATATTACTTTATTTTTTAAAATAAGATATACTTATTATACACACTTCAATAGCTCTCATTATGTAACAATCAAAATCAAGCCAAGACTCGTATAGCATTAGGCCCTGGAAGAACAAACAAATTTGCATTAAATACAATTTAAAGTTCACATAGTGCTCAACTATATCTAAGTGCTTTACAGACTCTTTAAAGAGAAACCAGCACAAAATTAAGCAATCATTTGTCTTACTGGAGATAGATTTTAAAAAAGTGGAAGACAGATAGAGGAAAGCCAAACCACCTTTAACACAGTCTTTCATTAAGCACTGCAATAAGGGATATTTAATAATGCAGGCTATTTAATGATGCACGTTGAGTACATTGGCAGTCTCTGGTCTAAAGCGAAATTCTGCTTTTTTTCCCTTAAAACATGAATCACAGAAATTTTATTAACAGACAACCCGCGTAGCCCAGTACAGTTTTCCTACTTCTTTTTAATATTATTTCCCTCCTCCCCCCCAGTAAGGCTACTTGAATTCCCGCTTCATGTAAATACTTGTACAATTTGGGTCAATTTAGAGCTAGGTTTTACTGTCAATTTGTAAGACTCAGAAAACAACAGGGCTTCTAAATACTGTTGTGATAGCAATTAATGTCACAAAGACCTTACAGAACACATTTTGTAAGCACCTTTTGTATTAACCATTTCCACTGCACAGCCACCACCTGGAACAGTATTGTGGAAAATAAAACATTTGGTCTGTTCACACCAGTGTAATCATTGAAATTTGTTTTTTAAGAATTTGAATTTCACAATAGCAAGTACCAGACACTATTTGAATAATTAGTTTATTTTTATTACTGTACTGAACAAATGTAAGCTCTAATGTCTCAGTTCATCTCAGTAGTACTCTGCTCAGCTTTAGAAGCTTGATATGACTTGGTACAAGATGTCACATGCCGATGAAAACTGTCCCGCCACATAAATCTTTTCCCACAGATGTTACATTCATATGGTTTTATGCCTGTATGAATTTTCATATGGCCAACAAGATGGTGTTTCATTTTGAATTTCTTACCACAAACACCACACCCATAAGGTCGAAGACCAAGGTGCATACTCATATGCCGATCTCTCTGACTTTTGTGTGTAAAGCTCTTACCACACTGACAAGGATAAAGCTTATCAGCATGAGAGAATCCAGTGAGGGATGTTTCTTCTTTAATTCCTGCAGCCATTTCAATGCCTTCACCATAGCCTGTTGCTATCATAAGATCTTGTCTGTGAGCACTTAAATTTCCATCTGCCCTTTCACCAGAAAATTCTTCCATAGAAGAGCCATAGAAGTCAACTTGCTCATCATAATTACTTTCATCTGCCTGTTCATCAAATTCTGCTTCCATCTTTTTGTCAGCTATATGAAAGTCTTCAACACCCGAAGACTGGATTGAATGATCTGCCTGAATGGCATTCATGGATTCAGAAACTTGATGTTCATCATAAGGATTATCAACACCTTCGCAGTCTTGTTCAAATCTTTCCGGTTTCACGTGGATCCACCGCTTGTGTGACATGATGCTGGGTTTGCTATATATAGGTCTGGTATATTGATACTCAGCACTATCACTAGTTCCTTCTTCACCATCCTGACTTGTCATTCCTGTACTAAGCCTATCGTGCTCTGTTGAAGAATTACTGGGGAGGTACTCATGTTCTGTCAGTTGACATGATAGCTCATCTTTAGAACTCTCTTCTTCATTTTCACCATCCCTCAGTTCCTGCACTTTGTGGAATTCTGTCTGCCCTCCAGAACCAAGTTCAAAGGTTTCAGTAAGGCCATTGTAACTACTACTGCTTGGGGACTGATGGTCACTGCCATGATTCATCTTCTGACAAAGAACTGTTGGATTTCCCTCTAGCACTTCAGTGCATTTATCCACTACATGCCACATCTGAAGGAAACTTGCTGCTGTCAAGTAACTAACAATCTCTGGAGCAGGCATTACCAGCCGACCTGTGTAGGTAGACAGAAGAATGTTTTCAAATACTCTTGGATTCATCACATCAGGCAGGACTATTCGCCTACTATTTTTTAGGAGAACCTGATCACAGAAGTAAGGTGAACTAGCTGCAAGAACAGCTTTATGGGCTCTGAAGAGATGGCCCTGAACTACAATGGACACATCACATAATTGTCCTTGCTGGCGCTGCTGATTTAACTTCTGCAAAATGGTGCTAGAAAAATCTGGAAATTCCACTCGGAAAGAGCTTGATCCAGACTCCATTTCATTACAAATTTAGTGTTGTGCTGAAAGAAAGCAAACAACAAAAGATCAGAAATTCTGCTTAGTAAAGTATTAATCTCTCAGTTTCCTTATAAACTCATATGGAAGTCACTCCAACGTTTTCTGGAACCCGCATCACTGCTATATTTCTATTCCCCCTTCACCCCCTCACTTCCTCCTTGATTTCAACTTTCTCGTTCTGAAAAGTTGTACTGAGGACACAAATTGCTATGCCAGCATATTTAGCTGTGCTTCTTCTATTCAAGAAGACTTGCCCACTACAGCAGGAGCTACAGAGAGATATACCTTGTACATCTGTAATAATTCAACAATTGAACACCAGAAGCTCAGCTAGTAATTCAGATATTAATGTTTATGCTTCCATGACTCAGATGTCAATCACAAATTTGAGGATTATTTAATAATAACATTCTTTAAAATGCCTGCTTTACATTTTATATTGAAGTTTAATATGAATGTGCATATCACCAGAAATAATAATCAGAAATTGAAGCGTAATAATGTAAGACCAACACTAACTATCTGAATAAACTAAGTTCATGCAATTTTTCAATTTGATGTGTAAATTGAACATAACAGAATTCTAAAAGAGCTATGAAGTAGAAAGCAGTTTTTCCCATAAAGATGCTTCTGGTAAGTAGGAGAGAGAAAGTTTTAACAGATAGACCTGCACATCTAAGAAAGAGTATTAATTAATAAGCAAAGAGCACACATGTACAGGATTTAAAAGCGCACGTACATGGTACAAAAATAGAACACGCATTACAAGCAGTACTCTGAAACTGAAGTGATTCCATGGAAACATGGAATTGAGAGGATATGATTATGAAACTCTGCTACAGAGTCTGTACAGTAAGTGTAGTACTTATAATTATATACTGCATGTACAAATTATATGAATGTATTATATAATAAATGTATAATGTATATATAACTACACAATCAGCTATAGAAAAATTTATTAGATGCACTGCATTCAAGTGCTGGCACATTGGCACAATGGTATGACTACTAAGCACAATAAAAACAGCAGTGTGTACTTACAAAATACTGTCTACACAGGAGTGATTATGTAAATCAATGCTTAATCAACAGTCAATCGTTACATAATCCCTTCCTGATTTTCCAGCTCATACTGTTGACATCTTTTCTCCACTCTCCCAAAGCCTCACTGTTCCTTCTTTAAAGTTCCAAAGCTAGAAAAGGATGACAACATACAGAGCACAGGTGAAAACAGATAATTCACCATTAACTTAGATGAAGATGAATAAGGTTAGCATAGAAGAGAGAACACAGGCTCAGAAAGGCACCAAAACTTTCAAGAAATACATGCCGGCTGTGGAGATTATATTTTTAAATGCCTTTTTTTTTTTTTAATTAGAAGTACGGCATCAATGTGATTCTCTTATGTAGATCTCTGAAGAAAACAGATTGGAAACAATAGCTTCTTATTATGGAAATAATTTATAACCATAAATATAGCAATATAACAAATTATAGCAATATGTTCAAAAGTGAAAAGGTATCATTTTTGACCAGTTTCCTTCTTTCTCGAAACCTTATACAAGTTTCCCCCTGCTGGATAGCAGGAGGGACAATAAAGACCGAAAAAGAAATCTTCCACTAAGGAAGAAGACAACCAAATGACTAAGAATTCTGTAAGTCAGCACTGAAACTGCCTGTATTCAGCAACATTAACATTTTCATAAACTGTCACTGCTTTACCAGTTGAAGCAATGATTCAAATGAAGAGCTGTTTACCCACTACCTCAAAATTCCCAGCTAAAATATGAAAATTAGTTTAGAGAGCTCCTTTCTCACAACGACTGCCTCACATAAACATTCTGCTGAGACAATTACCACGTTGTATTAAGCAAGAAGCCACTTAAAAAGTGCAAATGATACCATCCACAAGTTCAACTGTTAATTCTGCATTCAACTTTGCTTAAAATACTTGACAACATTACGGCAGTACTTCAGACACTTATATACAGAGCACATCATGAAATGCTTATTTTTAAAACTACTTTTAAAAAATGCAGGTGCATTATTTCTTTACCTCTTTTCAAAGAATTCTCAGATTTAAGATTCTATTTTTTCATACTCACCTAAAAAAAAAAAAAAAAAAGCAAAATTAACCATTTAGGAAATATATCACCTCAATTTAAAGGGAAATCGCTATAATTCCCGTTTGTCTAAGCTGCCAGGTATCAGCCAGTATGTGGCACGGTTATTCACCAGAGAAACAGTAATGGGGGGAGCAGCCTTTCTTTTATAAGTTTTAAATTCTCATTAAAAACAACAACAACAACACTAAAGCTATCAAAAGATAAGTGAAATATTTTGTTAATAAAGCCATACACTTCAAAAATGCTTTCTTCCGCCCTCTCTCCCCCGGAAATTTCAACTTCTCCTTCTACAGCGTGCTCTGTTACTGCATTTTTTCTTTATTCTTGCTCATTAAAAAAAGGTTTTTCTCGCGCAGTTCGTAGAAAATGCTTTATTTCCAAGCTGCGATACTAAAACACGGGGCACCTATTATCTGCTTAAAAATAAAGTCATTTCGTAAACAACCAGCGCACGATAACTTCAGCTCTCCGTCAAGCTTTCGAAGGAATCCCTTTCGTTCCCTACGCCCACCGAGGAGCACCTCACGGCGTTAAGGTACCCGCAGGGACGCCGCGGGGAGCCACGCGGAAGAGTTACGGGCACAGCCGCAACCCAACGGCAGCTCATGGCCGCCGAGAAAAGGGCCGGGAGCAGAGCGGGCCAGAAGCCGCCTCACGGCTCCCTGAGGGAGCGCCTCCCAACAGAAAGAGACGCAGAAGCCGCGCGAGGCGGCAGCAGCGGCGGCGGGAAGCGGGGGGGGCGGCCGGCAGAGAAGGCCTCACGCGCCGCCTGAGCCCTCAGCCTCGCGGCTTCCCGCGGCCTACGCTCTGACAGCCTCTCACCTGGGGGCCGCAGAGTCTCTCTCATAGTGGGCCACGACCTCAGCTTCAGCGTTCAATGCGGCCGACGCGGCTCAACCAGCCTGGACAGCCCCGGAAACAACGCTTCCCCGTGAAAGACTTCCGCATCCCGGTCACCTGACGGCCAGAGAACGGCTCTTCCGCTTCCCGCAGGGCTGCGGGGCGCGGCGGGTTGGTTCGGGTCCGCGTCTGTCCCGCCCGATTGCGGTGCCTGCTGACCGCCGCGGGCGGCCGAGTGCCGGCTGTGTGTGGCCCGAGCGTGCTGCGCGCTGCTGGGCCGCGGTTTTATCTGACTAAAGGACCCTCCGCTCCGCGAAATTCCGCGGTCGCTTTGTGTGCACCTCCTTAGGATCTCCTCAGTACTTCTTCACTTGATTTTCCCCGAGGTCTTTGAAAATAAGGGTGGTGCTCGCCAACACGAGGGACGTCTCAGCAAGACAGATCTCTGAAACAGAGAGTTCTGTTGGAATTTTTTAGTGAAATTTGAACTTGCCTAAAAAAATAGTCAAGTGGCAAAGATGGGTATTGTCATAAGTAGCAATAAAAAGAGAGAAATAGTGCCAGTCTTTGGGAACGTGCGTGCTGCTGAGAAATCCAGGAGGGACTGGGCATTCTTGAATCCCCTGCAGAGGCAAATAAATGACAAGACAAAATTACTATGTCATGTCTGCAGGTGAGGGAACAACTGGAAAGTCACCAACATCAAGGCACTATCTTTAAAAAGATTCATTTGTCGCTTATCTTAATGGTTTTGTGATAATGCACAATTGCTTTAAAGATTACTTTCTTTCTATGGTTTGATTTTGAAATGGATGTATATTATTGTCACCACAAGGTTTTCCCAAAGACTCTTCCTTTTTCTTTATTTCACCACTACTCTCCATTGCAATTGTTACTGCTGCTGTACACAATTCCAGGAGGGGACAACCAGAGACCAACACGTGGTTGAACCAAACCAGCAGTTTTCTGGCTGCTTACTTGTGCTCTACACATGCTATGAGCAGATGCCTTACATGCTACATAGCAAGAATTACTCTACAGTTGGACCATTCAATGCAACAAATATGTACACAAACTTTCCAAGTAAGGACAACTTCCAGCGTAAAAATAGATCTAAAGTTACTCTGAACTCTCCAAACAAGCCTGTGGTGTTCATGATAGTGTTATTGTGCCACAAGACTAATGGAGTTCATAACTCTACAGCTAGTTCTATTTCTGTAAGACATTGAGCCTCCAAACAAAAAGTTAATATATTTTTGACAGTATTGTAACTAAGACAACTGATGGCATTTCTGGGGAAGATTAACTTCTGAAACTTTGAGACTCCTGTTCTAAAAAGAGAAAGGGAGTTCAACTTAAGCCTCTGTTACTATTAGATGCCATATCATTTTCCAACAGTTGTTAAGGAAGCAGCAGTACTTGTGGGGGTTTTTTTTGTTTGTTTTTTGTTTTCTCTAAAAGATACTTCTGATGTAAGCAAGGGTAGTGCCTATTTAATTTTGTTTCAGAAGTTTCTCATTCAGTTCAGTTTTGTTACAAAGAAAACCTGACTGAGATATCTTTATCTGTGAAAATCCAGCAAAATAATTGGAGCTATCTGGCATAAGCAGTAATTGGTATACTTGTCTTAGTCTTTCCCTGTTTAGATTTTCTGAACTTACCTAGAAATAGTGATGAATTTAATGTTAGCTTGATGCATAATCCTTGGCTCTCGTTATGAAATGGTCTTCAAGAAAAATAGATGATTATATTTATCTATTAAAGCTATGTGTCAGTGAACTTCATTTACTGACATTTCTGTCTGTCCACCAACTACCATTTAGATAGTAGTGTTTCAGTAAGGAGGGAAAGGCTGGGAATTTAGGCAATAATCCCTACTGCTTCAGAAGGCTATGCAGAAGGCTTTGTTTCTAGACTCTTTCTGTTAATTCTGGCATAAATAAAGTACAGATACACTTGATTGCTGTTTGAATATTTTATACTTAACTTTGTCTGAAGACCCCGGTCTGAGTGAGACGGGTGAGATGGCATAGTGCAAAGGATAGACCTCAGCAAGCCTGAAGAATGTTCAATCTTTTTTTAACCCAGCAGATGGTGCTGAAGGCTAGGCCAACAGCACGTCCTTGATTAACGCTTCAGTACCAAATGCACGGAGGCTGCAGGTGGTTTATTAGTTTATCTCTCTTTAGGTTTTTCGTTAGTTTGTTTATTTGTTTTCATATTTTTTAAAGAATGTTTGGTCTCATGGTCAGCTGTAAGCCACAGATGATGTAGTTTCTGGAGTTTTAACTGCACTGTCCCAGAAATTTGTGCTAATGAGAGGGAAGATCGCATCACCTGGCCACCCTTGTCATTGAATTGAACAATTGAAAGCTTTTATTTTTGTCGTTTCTTAAATCACCCCCAAATTATGAAAGTGTTACTACTGGAAAATGGAAACGCCATATGTGTATGAAAAAAATAATGTTTTCAAGTGTTACACTTGTGATATCTGCAGCCAAGTACTTGAAATACTCCCTTTGCATGATTAGCAGGCAGATGTTCAGCCACTTCCATGAAAGTAGAGCTTCATCTTATAGAATCAGAGAATCATAGAATGGTTTGGGTTGGAAGGGCAACAGTTACTTGGGAAGACAAATGCAGTCACTCCAAATATCTCCCCTCTTCGTTTTTCTCAGCTTTTATTGCTGAGCGTGATGCCATATGGTATGGAATATTCCTTTGGTCGGATAGGGTCAGCTGTACTGTCTGTGTCCCCTCACATCCTCAGCCTACTTGTGGATCAGTATGAGAAATACAGAAGACTTTGATTCCTTGATTCTGTATGAGCACTTTTCAACAAGAACTAAAACATTGGTGTGTTATCAACGCTGTCTTAGTCACAAATCCAAAGCATGGCACCATACAAGCTACTATGAAAGGAAATCAACTCTATCCTAGCCAGCACCAGTACACTTCAACAGCACTGTGTGAAGTTAACAATCTCCTACCACCACCCTAGCTGTATTTTCTTAATGAGATTATAGAGATTAAAAAAAAAGGTGCCTAGCATGAGATAAAGCATGATATTATTTCACATTTTAGGACTCGTAATTCTCTCTTATGACTGAAAATATTTCCAGAATATTATTCATAAAATACCTCCAACTAGACAACCTGGAGAAAGAAACTCCTGGATCAGGGCCTGTATCACTTCTGTCCTACACCACGTCAGTGCCAGAACATGCATAGAACCACTGTGATTCAAGTTACTTTCACTGATGTACCTTTTTTGTGCTGATAAAATGCTTTGAAAAGGAGAAAAGCAATTAGGACTAACGTGCCTGATGTAATTCCCGTTAATATTTAACCACTAAAGTAACAAACATACAGAAATCTATGGTCACCATATTAGACATCTTCAAATAGCAAAATGACAATGCCAGAGGATAATTTTCTCATTAAGATTTCATAGAAAGCAAACTGCTGAAATTATTTTAGGAAGAATTCAGAGTTTATGCCAAGCTCCAACCACTAATTCTGATATCTATCTGATAGTATCTAAGGCTTCAAATCAGTACCAATGTAGAAACTGAAATCTGAGATGATTTTTAGCACTCATTTTTCTTGTTTTCTGTTCATGTCCTAATCCTTCTAAGCTTGCTGATGATCATTGTTCTCCCTTGACTTTAGTGCTTTTTTTTCATATCAGTGTTTTTTTTTTTTTATTATTATCCTCTGTAGTCCCTGTGATTCATTTAAATGATTCGTTTTTAAGGTGGATGGATTTACATTTTTCCCGTTATAAAGTTAATATTCTAATAAGTCAACTGAAAGGAAGTTCTTCCTTGATGTTTAATGGGCTGACATAGGTGTCTTTCCAAAGCTTGTTGTTCCAATGCTTGTTTTGATTTTGTGACAGAGATACTTCAGATATTCCTGTTGGTAAAAAATAAAATAAAATGTTTTCTTATAAATCTTACAACAGCTTTAGCTGCACAGATGGACAAAAAATGTATTCATGTCTGTCCCAAAATGTTCAGATACCCTGAAAGTTGGTATCTTCATTTGATCTAATATGATGACAAGAGTACCTTGATGTACAAAGCCAGGCTTACCTATCAAACTACTCAAAAGGGCAACCTCTGGTACCTGGGACTCTACATAGTTGCACAGTAAAATTTTCTGGTTTAGAAAGCTTGATTTCTGATGCCACACTGCCTGCTCAGATAAAATTCTGATTTTCAGTGCTGCAGAACTTGCCTCAGATATTGGAAGAAGGGTGCTCAATTTTTCTTTAGTTTGAGTCCAGCTTGTTCATAGTTTTTCAATGTTTCCTTCAAGTTTGAAGAAAAAATTACACATCTGTAATTGTAAAGGATAGCTCATTTACACATCACTAAATCTGTGTTTCACATTTGTATATAACTATATATTTTAGCAGACAGGCACTGTCACTGAATCCATGATAGCACTATTGTTCAGAAACGCACCAACCCATTTATGTCCATGTTTTCTGACATTACTGCAGAATTAAAAAAAATCTGAGCATTGATACTCTGGAAAATAATTATGACTATATAAAATATTTATTGTTTGCTTGGAAGGATGAGGATGCCACATGGTAGAGATAGTAGAGATGGGTATGCTTTACAATGCAAGAAAAAATGACATGCAGCTTTATAGTGCTAACCAAGAATAAGAAAGTATTGAGTTCCAATACACCTTTAAATTTTAAATACATTCATGCTGCAAAATCCCTTGAGCAAAACTTAAATTATGCATTGCAGTTATATAAATTTCGTTCTGCTTCTCTGAAAAAGGGAAAGCTGTATGTTGGGAAGACCAACATGTGTTGAAAACAGACTCCAAAAAAGATGCTTGCAGAAAACAACCAACCAAACAAAAAACCATTTATGATTCAGCTATAGACCTGTCTTTATTGTACTTATAAAATATACATAGCCTTTTATTGAATTGCCTGCTGTTGAAATCTGCAAGAATTTTATTGCTTTTTACTGTCCTGGAGAGGAATAAAGCAGCAGCCTCTGTGTAATTTCATAAGAAGCAAGGACAGTAAATCTAAAATTACTGGATATAGGATCGATAATAAAAAATCCTGTGATGACCAAAATTTAGAAGTTTTGGAATACACAGTGCCTATATGTCTTCTTCTCATTAGTATTTTCAAAATATCTTTTTTAAAAAAAAAAATATTTATATCTAAGCATATTTCTCATTTCAGTGTATTACACAGTGAACTATTTCAAGCTTTCTATTTACATGTTTCTCATGATAAGCACATTAACCTGTTCCATTATTAAATCAGGGTTTAATTCTGTGCACTTTACACCAGTATCTTCTTTCTTCTGTTTACTTTGAAATGGGATATAGTTGGCTCTTTAATATGATGGGAATTAGTAGGACTTGGCCATTTAACAAGATACTTTCCTTCCCTTTTGTTTCCTCTAAACCAAATGAAGAATCAAAGGATAAAACACCCAAACTGTCCCCAGTGAAGCCAGTAGCCTGGAACTTGAAAACCAGGCTAAAATTTTAAAGTAAAATGAATAGCTTACAAACCTTCTGATAAGATGTACAGTGTGCTGCTGTTGTCTTTGTTTCTAATCTTGGGAACCCTCTGAGTCTTTCAAAAATTTCCTGAATATCCAAGAGAAGATTGCTGGACCATTATGTGACTAGTTTTTTGTCACATTCTTTCATAAGTGAAACGAAAGTCAAATAAAAAAAATATTTCTCCTCCTATCCTCCAAATAAAACAAAGCCCAACAGTGCAGTCAGTTTAACAGTGTGATGGAACACATGGAAGAAAACATTCATTTTCCATTGTATGGTTTCTGAGTTTCAATCGGGAAAAAACATTCTGAAGTTGATACTATTATATACGTTCTATCTGCTCCCATTCTGGAAGTTCCCCCCAAAATTCAGGTCAGTCCTAAGCTGATCCCTGAGAACTGGGGATGCACACAATCAAATTGTTAAATTATCAAATTTTCATGATGGGGAGTGAAGAAGAAACAATAATCCCATTGAAGGTTTTGAATATACAATCCACAAGAAATAAATGATGAAGAAAGCAGTATGAGTCACAGATAATTGAGGAAAAAATAGATCTGCTTAGCACAGAACGTATAAGTAAGAGGCTGTCTCTACCATGCTGTCACTACCAGAAAATGACTGCATCTCTCCCTCAAGTTGCAGTGAAGTACAGAATGGCACTGGAGCAAGTATTGTATGATTTTTGTATTGTAAACTATAAAGTCTTCCAGTCATAATAAGACCTGACCTGTTTGCAAAGGCCATTGAAATTTGAATTTTACAGAGGAAAAATATCACAGGAATCTCACATGGCAGAAAGATGCTACTCTATGTGATATAGGGAAGCCTTTCAAAACTAAATGTTTGCAATCTGAAACATTAAAAAAATCAGATTAATTTAACCGTTGAAACAGAATTTTAATGTACTTCCAGGTCAGCACTTGTTTTGTATTTTGGAATAGGATCAGCAAACTTTGTGTCTTCCCCAGAGAGTTTGTTAAAATTGTAGGGATGCATGCAGCCAGGGCAGCTGAACAGTTTTCTCTTAGCATTTCAAGGCTTTCTCCTGACAACTGGCGAGTGCTCTTGTTAAAATGGAGCAGATGAATGAGTGTGCTAAAATGCAGTTTAAAAAAATGGCTCCCTTTCTGTCCATCTACAAATTTTACATTATGTAGTGACTGTGAACAGATTTTAGTGGAGCACTTGAAGACCAACACTCTGTGCTTTGGACTGAATTACTGATGCTGAAAGATTGGCTCCTGAAAATGGTTCTGAAAAGCTGAAAACTAGTTCAGTTTTTGTGATGGACTCCTGTTGCTGTGTTCTACTGCAGGGAAGTTAAAGCAGCTCAGATGGTCTACAGAATGAGTCTACAAAGCCCTCTCATAAATGGTGGTTGTTCTGAATGAGTTTGTTTGATATCT